AAACCCATAATAATTCATAGCGCGTATCTGTTAAATGCATATTCTTATTGCTAATATTTTACTAGATATTTAATGTCATTTCCTATTAGATAATAAGGCGATGATTATTCACATTTTAATAACATCCTTATATTTACAACAAATGTTAATCTATTATTTTAAATTTTTACAGTTAGAATAACTGGTTATTCTGATATTTCAGCACTCGCAACAGCGCTGAAATATCAGGACCGTTCTAAAGTCCACCGTACGGTCGTTTTGTGCCGGTAGTCCGACCTGACTATTTAATCAAGTTTAAAATAAGATTTATTTAAAAAAAAATCATTTTGTTTATCCACAAAAATTTGTTATTTCTCTGCATCGAAAGCTCATTTTCAATTTACAACCAGAGCCCGTGAACCTAAACTATTTCAAAATGTTTAAGTGAATGCAAGATGATTATGTGATAATTGAGAACTGAAATGAATCAATTTCTCATTGTTCTTATTGTGAGCGATCATTGACCCTGCCAGTAAAAATAGTAATGAGAATTACTCAATCAAAACAATAAAACCGATCGTACGTGTAGTTTTTCATAAGAATCGAAAGTTTGTTAAACAAATTCAATCGAATATATTCTCAGATGTATCCACGATTATTATTGAACCTTTTTTTCATTACGAGCATTAAGTTAGTTCATGGAAATGCATGAATAGGCTTCGATTATTTTCCGTTTTGACGAGAGAGAAATTTCTAATAAACAATGCGTGTTTTAATTAGCGGACGTGTAGTCTGTTAGATTTATTTTAAACAACAATTGAAAGGCGTTCCCTGTAGGTTGTTGCCCTAACGCGTGTTTATTCAGACTCGCTTTCTAAGTTCACGTACGCCGAAAGAATAATGGAAAAGAGCTAATCTCCTCCGGCAAATCCCATACATCAAGGCACACTTTCAGCTCGTTACGATGTAATTAAAAGTCGCCGTGCTATCACTGTCTGTAACACCTCGTTAATCTCAACAGCGAGTCATTTGAAATCTCACTGAGTACAATTCTTTATGAATAAAACTATATTAATTAGTCGTTTGTAATAAAATAGCATTCATATTTTTGTTAAAGTAATTTTTTACCTTTGTTTAATAATATTAAATTAATAAAAAAAAACTTTTGTTAATCGACTTAGCTTGATATTTAAGAATTTACTAACCACGTTATGTGCGTGTTTAAAAAAAATCGAATATTCCAGAATGTTTTATTTAAATTTCGTCCTTAAAAAGAACAAACTAGTAATTGTTTTTTAGCGTGTCAGTCTAAAACCGTCGATTGCAAACATAAATTATAAATATTATTTATTGTAATTGATGAACAGACTAAGTCATGGCCCACCTGATAAAATATGACGTCGTTCTAAAGTCCATAAATACCATAACATCAAGACAGCCAGTTTAAAACGATAGCAAGTGGCATGATATATCTGCAGACAGGATTTCACAAAGAGTGTGTGCTTAGATAAATTATTATCTTTGACGTGCAATTCTAAAATAATATTGGAACCTACATAAAATCATTGATAAATTATTACACAGAAACGAATATAAAATCTATCTAGAATGCAACCGACAGTTGATTGTTGGACGTGACTTCACTCGCTTGAACAACAAGTGGTTTTGAACTGAAAACGATAAAATTGGATCAAACGTGCGTTTCGTTCATTTGTTTTTTTCTTTTGGGCGGTAATTCAGAACTTTGAAAGAATTCAGAAAACTATGAGTTCGAATTAATTTATCGTTTATATATTTTTTTCTAATCTATACTCTATACTAATATTATAAAGAGGAAAGATTTGTTTGTTTGTTTGTATTGAATAGGCTCCGAAACTACTGAACCGGTTTGAAAAATTCTTTCACTGTTTGGAAGCTACACTATTCCCGAGTGACATGAGCTATAATCTTTTTTGAAAAAAATTAGGGATCCTTACTAAAACTCCAATAATATAACCCAAGGTGAATTTTTTTTATTTCAAATATTATTTACATCGCGTGCCCTGCGAAAACTATTGATGATAGAATAAAATAATGTACTACGACTTTGTAGAACACATTATTATTTACAAAAAGTGTCGCGAGAGCATATGTCTAACTATTATAGTTATGCCGCAATAAGTGTTCTTTTATTTTAAAAAATAAAACAACGTCAAATATCGTTGAAATTTTTGTTAAAGACCCGAGCGGAGTCGGAGCGGGCCTCTAGTATCGAATATTTAGCTACTTTTTACTTTTAGTATTAACTCAAAGCAATTGCTTCAATTTTCAATCTCAGCGATGTCATGGATATAGTATTCGAAACCCGGTATTCCAATAGAAAGTGTTCAATTGGTTTATGTTATCGAAATGTACATAAGTACAAACACACATGTATTTCGGACAAACAAATCAATGTAAAGATGGACCTGTAATCTTTTGACTCTTACAAATATTTATTTAAATGCAGAAATCTAAAGAGAAAACACACAGATAACGGACCAAAGGCTATCCAGTAATTTAAAATGAATTTATCAGATTCACGTAGTTTCTTCGGACGTTGACTTGCACAATTAATTAGTGAAAGATAGAAAATGAAAGTTCAGGCAAACGAATTCGCAGATCACTGTAGTTTTTGTAGATCATCCTTTGTTAAAGTCGATTCTAAATTTACATATCGCCTACGACTTTACTGTTTCTGCTACGCGCGTTCTACGTTACATTAAGTTGAAGTTATACATCAAAATTCAGCTTACAGTCAATGTATTAAGATCCATCTTTCTTTATTGCTCACTTTCCAAATTAAGTAATTATAAAAATTGTTGAGCAGCCCAAATGTTTTTTTTCTACGCAAATTCTGTTTTGATTAATGTGTCAGCATGTATCACTTTTAACGCTTCGTTAAAACATTACTCTGCGGTAGGTAACGAAATAACTTTCACCCAATTGTGAACGTTGATCAATGTCTATTAAATTGGATAATAAGTCGTCTCCAGGATTGATGATGATTTTGACAGGGCAATTGAGGATAAAAGAACACAAAATGAGCCCTCAGGCGGAATCATGCGATTAGGCTACAAAGGAATATCAAATTACACAGTCATTGATCAAAATAGGTTTGTTTTTGATGAATATAACAGTTAATGTTGCCCATTTTAACAATTTAAAATAGTTAATATAATTTGGATTGTGATCTTGGGCCTCTACGTATTTTTTCTTTAAATAAATTAAAGACTGTAATTATTACTTTAATATACATAGTACAGTAGTATTAGTACCTAGTTAGAGCATCTAAATTTTCTGTAGTTTTCGAAGCGAAAATTTATCTCTTTAACGACACTTCATCTCTCCCTCTTAGGATAACACGCACCACCCTTTTTACGTTGTGAAATCCAATTTACGGATACTCGACCAATGAAAGATGAGGCCGGGCTGCATCTAGTACTACTACGTCTAGTACTACTACGTCTAGTACTACTACGTCTAGTACTACTACGTCTAGTACTATTACGTCTAGTACTACTAAGTCTAGTACTACTACATCTAGACGTACTGCTACGTCTATTACTATGTCGAGTACTATTTTTTCGATTTCATCTCTCGTTTATTACGACGGTCAGTCGTCCTTCAAACACGAAATTTTGTCGCATTAGTGGACATACATAACAAGCAAGGGACAAAACTGTAAAAGGAGTTTTAGTTTTGTCTACGAGTCGCGAAAATCGAAGAAATTACTGACAATCAATATAATCCTTAATTATAATAATCCCAAACAAATTCAGACACAGTTAATCATCTCATACAAAAAATATGAAAACATTTGTGACCTGATTTGAATTACTGCTATACTTAAAATAAAATAAAAAACTATTTGATTTATTAGTACAAGAAGGTCACTAATAACACCTTTTTTATCAAAATAGTATTTAACTTAATATTTTGTTTAAATTGTATTTATACCTTTCTTATCATTCAACAGTAGCCATGAAACGGGTAAATTATTTGTTATTAATATTCTACTATTAAGTACATTTACTAATAGCTAATAGAAGAAAAATGTACGAAACGCGAGCTCGTATAGCATTCTAGTATTGAGTAATGAGAGTTGCTTGATAATAAATGTGCTTTCTACTGGAGAGCAATAGAATGTTTCGGGTGAAATCGGCGACGTCAATGCTGCACCTCCACCGGCATAACTCTCGGAAACTGTCCATTTAACAACATAAGTTAATTCAATTTTACTCCGAAACATATATTTAAAATAAAATAAAATGTGGATATTCAATCTATGCAATTTTGTCACGGCTTATTTTTTGTATTTCTTTTGATAAATCAAAATAAATTATTGAATAAAAAAGTAAAGGAGAGAGAGAGAGAGAGAGAGAGAGAGAGAGAGAGAGAGAGAGAGAGAATACACTTTATTGCACAACAAAACACAATTTACCTTCAAAAAACAATCAAAAAAGCAAATACATTTGTACAATAGGTGGTCTTATCGCTAAAAGCGTAGACAACCGTTTAACTAATAGAAATTCTGGAAAATATAAAAATATAGCAGGTATGTTGCGGTGTACTATAGATAATACATTATTATAAAGAAATTTTTATTACATTATTATAAAGGAAAGATAAATTTAAAGTATAAAAATACGAAACTGGTATTAAACACGAGCAGAGGCGGCCTTGGTCCGTAATAGGGTCAAGGCCGCGCGCAGTTTCCTCTCGATGCAACGGGAGCGGCGCGGGAGTGAAAGATGCAGCTAGTGCAGTTCCGGCGTGGTCGCACTCGGTCAGTGGGTCAGCCCCACTAGCCTCGGGGTGCAGCGCAGTGGGGGCATCACCACGCACCGCCACCACTCCACACCGCCGTATTGCAGAGTCGTCGCCGTGATGGCCGTAGAGGCTGCGCTTCAGCGCTGATGCCAAGTGTCGCCCGCGTTGGGCTTTTACGAAAGTGCTCACTTGAACGTGTTTCGTTGGTTACAGGGCGTTGACTGACTGGACTGTGACGATGAAGAGGATCAGGTTGACATTGGTATTAGCTACGCTCCTATTAAAGGTTAGTGTCTTAAATTCTTTGCTATTATTATAATCAGGTATCGCTGTTCGAACCTCGTTAANATGTCTTTCAATACTTACTGTGTTCTGAGCATTGAAATGTAATACCAAGAACTACATCTAGTTCCACAATACAATAAGCACGAAATTTTAAACAAATATTTTTAACCTTATAAATTAGGCTTTAAGTATCATTTTAGAATAAATATTTTTGTACTGATGACTTTTTATGTTCAAGTGACATTTTAAATTTATTCCATAATATTTTTTTTCTGACGAAAGGACCTAAATACATATATTTTGCAATGGTAATTAAACTTTATGTTTAAGTATTAAGGTTTATAATAAACTGAAGCCGTTAACATTATTAAACTTTTTTCTAAGAAATGAAGATGTTTTCGTGTCTGCAAACGTGGCCACTGGAGCGTCTTATTTTTGTTCCTGATCCGTAATCTAGTACTATTATTGATCGAAGAAAAAAAATCGTCAATTATAAATTGATATCTCTTACATAATTAATTTATGAAATGAAATTTATAGTTACCGTGGCAATACAGTATAAATCGTATGGTATAAAATGTTTATTTTATTATCATTGATCGGGTAAAAAAAAACGGAATACGTTTAGATAGATATAATTCTATACGCATTTCCTCTTAATTTTCCTACATGTAAGCGATAGCGAGCGGTAAAAGCCATCACAGTCTATTGCACTAGTGCACTTATCCGTTACTTTAAAATATTATCCCGTTCCATATAACAGTCCTCTCAACACCATTGCTGTTCTAAATTATCTTGTATGAATAGAATTAGCCCGACTATGAATCAGATATCGTGCGTGCCCTTCCAATAGTAATTCTTTGAAATCCTTTCTTAACGACTAATGGTAGAGTGCTAATCCATATCATCCGGTATTGTCCATTTCTGCTGAATAGCAAACATACCTTCCAACAGTAGCCGCTATTCTACAATTAAGAATTTGACATCGTGTCGCAAGGTCTATGGCAGCCGGGACCCTAAAATTGCATAACCCTAAGCTAGTAAAAACTCGAATCGTCTGGAAACTACCACTAGCGATTATTCCGATGTAAAACTGCAATCAGTTTGGTGAACGCATGAAATACTTTATCAGTTCCGTTTATGCTCTGATTGCTGAAGACTTTTTACTCTTAATGAAATTCTATTTCGTACTTCGAATAAATAAGAAAAGAAATAAAGCGAAGAAGAATTTATAAATAGTACGAGTATAAGTCACCCGGGTTTTACTCAAAATATACATTCGCCCAAAAAAACGCAATATTTTTTAATTAATCAAAAGTATACAATCGTAACAATTTGAAAGGTAGCAATGAATGCACGATTCTCTGAAATCGATATAAAATGAACATAAATGCATACAATGCATCAAGAAAATAATTTTAATATCAAGTTTATTGAATGAAAATTTAGTTTAGTATATTCTACGCAATCTTTCTACTTCACCATCTATGTATACTGTTTTTTTCCGCACGTTTTCTCAACAACTAGGCTAATGATTCCGTTACCATATCCACAAAACAGCGGTCCACTGGAAATAACTGCTCACGATACGCACAGTGTGAAAAAAATTATGATTTATATTAGTAATGAATATGTTTTTGTTGTTGACTGACTCGATGGTGTAGTAATTAGTGTCTCTAACTATTGCGTCGAGGGTCGTAAGTTTGATTCCCATATCAAACGGTTATTATGAACGCGCCGGAACGGAGCTTAATGTCAACTGTCAAACAATCACCTGTCATGAAGCGTCCTTCTGGTTTTTACCGCGTTTTTGGGAACATCAAAATGTTTCAACATTAGATTTGCATTCATTTAGTTATGTATTTGTGTGGTGTTAAAATAAAAGGATTGATAAGTTACGGTGTTTGCTTACTACACTTTGACACAGACAAACATTCGTATTGATGAAAAGGTTTGTTTGCTCTTTGTCCGGGTTTTTATTATCTATATACCTATGTGTGACATTAAATACTCTTGACAACGAAAGACTTAACTGCATTTTCTATAATATAAATACGAAAACAATATTTAAAGCCCTTGATATCTCTATTTAAAATAATATTTTCAACAATATTGATATGTATGATTGAATTATTCTCTTCATTGAATGACAGGGGAGTGAGCTTGTCTAAGAAAAATCATTTTAAAACTAAAGAGGTTTTTCTTTACTATACTTAAGTACACTCAAACGAGAAATCATTGTTTAGATTCGTCATTTGACGAATATTTTAATTTTCATTCGTCAGGTTGTATCATCATAATGTAAATGTTGTATTAATATTGGATTTATGTGGTATAAAGTAAATGGAATATTTTAATTAGAAAATTACTTTAATAGATCGCATTCTCGGAAAAGAGACACACATCGGTAATAGGGAAATCAAATTAAAATCATTTAAAGTGATGCAAGTCTTTGCCGGAAAGAATTGTAATTGATAAAAGATCACAATTATTCTATTTTACCATTTGCTATTTTTGTATTCACTAGTTTGATCGGGAACCACGCATCTCTAGTCAGTGCGATTCAGCCTTCCTCACTACGCAGATTAAAATTTTCTTAAGAATACACTACTGTGTCTTATAAAGCTAATCTTTCAGTTATTCCCATATAATTTAATTGCCCATATAAATATTCAGCGTTATCAATTTACTATGAAATAAACCGCATACTCCTTTAACTCTTTGAACAATAAATTAAATTAAAAGATTGTAGGTAAACTCCGTTTAACATAGTTGAATGTAAACTATTTTGGATATGAATAGAAATTAGAATATGAATAAAATATTTTCGAATAGAAATTAGCAAAATTGGAATGCTCTCTATATTCACATCATTAAAACGAAATGTCTCCGGCCCGCGTTTTAGAAAATAAAAACTGTTACATAACAACATGATCACTTAAACGGTCATGGAGGCAGCTGGGTGATGTCATTGACCGCTAAAATACCTTTGCAACGTAGAAACACTTTCACTCTGGATGAAATTTCGCAGTTTGTCAGAGGTGGTGATGTAATCGCTTGCATTTAATTTCAATTTCGACAATTACCGGTCGTGTTGTAATTGAAAATATATAATTGTTGTGTTCGATTAGAAGTCGTATGATAGCTTGGTTATTGTAATTTTTTTGTTTGTTTTAAGAATGCTGTATATATAAATAAGATACAGGATTTTATGTAGTTTATTGATTTGAATTTTGGACTGACTTTTGTGTATTAGATACTTTTCGAAGGATTATACTGGGCTATGTAAATATTTGTAGCTAACAGAAACTAAAAATAATTGAAAGTAATTACAAAATTCACTGATAAATTAAAAAGAAGTCATAGCTTTAAAAAAAAAACAAGTAGGTACCATCTACAGCTTTCGTACAAACAAGAGAGTGTCATAACATTGCTGCCCATAACGCAATCGCGCGAAATCATGTTAGAAAGCATATTTTAGTTAAAGAAAGTGTAAACGACCGATCACTTTCCTTTGTCGGAAAGATTATGTGCCTGCGATGGCCTATCGATGTCCATTACACGGGTAGATTGATCCGTCAAGGTAATGGCGCCCAAGGCTAGTGGACCGTCAATTTAATATAACAGACAGTGCTAACTCGGATTTAAAAGTAACCATGGCTCGATTGGTAAGATACGTGCCGATCACCGTCCTCGCCGAACCCGTTGCTTGCGACGAAGGGGTCGACGAGTAAATTAACCCATAGACACAGCCCACTATGTTTCTCGCCGGATCTTCTCAGTGGGTTTCAAATCCGGTACTAGATTCTGCGTAGCACTGCGCTTGGTAGAGCCCCGTGAGCTCATCTACACGCCAAGGAGAAGCTGAAATAGCCTCTCAAGGCTATTAGCATAGATAGGGGAATAAAAGCAGCTCTATTTGTATCGACTGATGCGGTTTTAATTCATTTTCATTCTGGTATTATTATTATTATAAAAAAAATTATCGTATCCATGAACGATTTCTACGACGAAGGAATAAGACAAATAAAACCTGCCTTGTTTTATTTGCGTATTTACTTGTGGTAAGGTGATTGGCTAGGCGAGTAGGTATTACTGTCCTGTCTATTTTCTATCGAATATCTAGTCTGTGATTCTATCGGCTTAAAGGTGATTTCTATCTAGTTATGACTTCAACCTCAAATCCCAAATCAGCTTTTAGTTTTTATTACGAAATATTTATGTGTTCGCTCCACAGATCAATTACATAGAGCTGTTATATTTTATTTCTGTAGATTGTAATGTGAAATTGTTCATGTGCATTGAAATGAAAAATTATATATAGCTATTAATAAATAAATAGACGATTGCTGTGAGTGTTCCACTGGCTCTTCTCAGGATCGAGACTGTTTTGTATCGGTAATAGAGCAATGACATTTGACTATTACTCATCACTACAAAAGTCGCTTTCTCTGTCCCTATATCCCTGTATGCTTAAATCTTTAAAATTACGCAATGGATTTTGATGCGGTTTTTTTAATAGATAGTGATTGAAGAGGAAGGTTTTTATGTATAATAACATTCATTAAATAGTGGAGAAATCAGTAATAAATTACAGTTCCCGAAGCGAAGCGAGGGCGGGTCGCTAGTATATTATGTTATATGGGGACATTTAAGCTGAAAATTTTTAACGAAATTATTAATTCGGTGCAAAATACCTTGAAGCTCCTTTTGTGTTAAGTGGTTGCCAGAATTTATGAATACCAAAGAGAACATTGCGCCGTCGAACTGTTGAAAAATATTTATTTATAGGTCTGTAACAGTTAACGATAACTCTCACAACATCCCGCCTATTTCTGCCGTGAAACAGTAATGCGTTTCGGTTTGAAGGGTGGGGCAGCCGTTGTAACTATACTGAGACCTTAGAACTTATATCTCAAGGTGTGTGGCGTATTTACCTTGTAGATGTCTATGGGTTCCAGTAACCACTTAACACCAGGTGGGCTGTGAGCTCGTCCAACCATCTAGGCAATAAAAAAATAAAAAAACATGCTTTTAATTTCAATAAGTACTCAATTTTAAAAATATTCCTTTTCCGAATACTACTGCTTAATTAGCCCTGCTAATCTACTACTTAATCAGAAGAGTCACTATTTAAACCCACTATCTTGATCGAAGTCTTAATGGTATTAAAATGTGTAATGAACTAGTTTCTAAAAGCGAAGGATGTCAGTTGTGCACGGTTCATCAGATAATGCACGCATTACACACTTCCCACGTGCTTGGAACTAAATCACTTGCCGACAATATGACGGGAGAGCTGTGGGAGACAAGAAGCACAGCTTCATCCACACGGGGCAGATTAAATCGTGATCATTAAATGATTTATCACCATGAATAGATAACGTATAGGTACCAGATGAGATTTACAAATTAATCATGGTAAAATAGGAATTAGAGTCATCTTATTTTTTCTGTAAGCTATTTGTCAATTACAACCCACTTTAGAACGTTTCCTTAAAAAGTTATTACTTTATTTCTTAAAGTAAATTATATATTAAATTTTTTTATTTATAATAAATAAAATAGCATTTCTTGTCACTTTATAAATTTAAGTTATACTTCTTCTCATTTCATATGTATTTATTATTGTCACGACCTTATCAATTAAATCTAGTGCAAATAGTAAAATAGTAATATATTGAGATACTTCTCTTGTATTATACTTCTAAACGCTATACTGGAGAAAGAAAGAGAGAGATAGACACCAGTAGCACGTGCCGTAGTAGTAAAAAGGAAATCATTGTATTGTTTCAAAAAAGTACTTTGAAGTCGTTCCACGGTTCATACGGAACATGATTCAGAACTAGAGGCTAGAATGAATCTAAAGAATACAATGATCTGGACACGAAATATAAGTATGATCAATTCAAAAGACGTAATTTTCAATTTTTTCAGGGTTGCGTTGTGGGTGGAGCATTTCTTCGTTATCTTAGACCAGACCATTTATCTTAATAATCTAAGGAACTGAATGGATAATATACTGAATGGATAAAGGTCTTCATTCAATTTACATATTTTATTTAAACATTATGGTGAACGTCATCCTCGTAGGAAACATTCATGAAAATTACTTGGTAGCTAAACTACTACTATTCACATTATGAAATGTAAATGCATATGTTAAACAGTTATTTTATGTTTACGAATGATGATAAATACGTAAATAGCCTCGACCTTCTTAGGATTCACAATACTTTGCGGAACACAAACAAAAATCCGGTTCAACTCCATTCTCGTTCATTTAAACAACTTTCTTCGATGCCTTACTAATTTTAATAAGACTTTTGACGAAAATATTATAAACAAAATTTAGTGATACTTAAAAGTAAATTGTTTTTATTTTAACGTTTAACGGTTCTCAATTTTTTTTCAAGAACGGAGACAACGTAGACTTGGAAGGATATCCGAGAGTTGCAAGCACTTTATGACATTACATTTCTTTAAATATTTTTTTTTATTTATTGTTAGAGGTCGAGGGTCCGTGAAGTTAAAAAATTGCATAAGTAACTACATCTATATTATATTAAGCTTAGTAAACAATTTTTTTATTTTTTTTTATTTACGATAGGCTAATACTTTCTGTCGTCATTGGAAACAGTCTCCTTACCTTGTATTGATTTAGGCGTAACAAAATAAATCTACGCATCATTAATATTTTAGCAAAGCGTACTTAAATACATTAATTTAACTATATCCATTGATTAACACGTTCATAATTCTGAAATAGGCAATGTTTATATTTCATATCAATCACGTATCTAATGCGAATAGCGATCTCAAGTCGGGCCAGAGATACTTTCACCCACCGGTCACCTGTTTCGTGTATGCTACATGCGCTAGTAATCGCGTTTGTCAATTTCTCGCAATTATTCTTCACGACAACGATAACTAAGTTAACGAAGTCACGTCAAGATTTGCTACAAATAGAGTGGCTCACTCTTGAAAACAATTACTTTGGATATAGGTATGATTTCTGTGAATGTTTTCATTACTTTCGAGAATTCATTTGGGACTAGACTTTGTCAGAGACCGCGATAATGCAGCATATATAAAGCACGCGTTGAGTTTCTAAGTGTTTCAAAATTACTGTTAACCTAATTGAAACATAATTTTCCAGCAATAAAACAAATAATGACGCTCTCGGTTAATATATTTTTATACTTATTCATAAGATTTAGAATTTCTGAAATATATGAATATCATACATAAATTAATATCGCGTACCTATAGCGTCAAGGAAAGTTCTAGTAGATGAAGAGTTACGCATGTTTATAGGTCCGGTGTTTTCTTCCGCAACTGACAATCTCGATCAGTGGGTACAATTTCTAACCGGTTTAGAAAACGCGAGCGTCAGTGTTGACTGCGTTGGGCCAGACTGCCGCACTTGCAGCTATTCTCGTATGAAGCCGGCACCTTGCATGCGAGCTCTCACTCGATCTGATGTTCTAGTTTAGATAAAGTCTTGATTGACTAAATAAAAAGCATTTCAAGGCTACATTTCAACATAAAATTTAGCTTTTATAGAGCATAATCGAAATTGAAGACAGAGTGTTGTTTTGAGAACATTTGTTTTTTGGGTGTAACAACGCCAATAGGAAGATCATCGAGCGAGTAAACTGCTTGGTAGACCGATTCGGAGATTCAGGATTCTGTCAAATACCTTGCGTTTTGTGATAGCTATCTGCTACATTTTGTTAATTAGCCTGTTAAAGTATATTAAGAAATCAATACATTCTCTTTTACATGTACCATGTTAATGAAATAATGAGTAAAATATGTAGATGATCTGCCTATCAACGTAGAAAGTCGGTAAGATCGACAAGCTCTCAACTCGCGGGACCAAACAGCGGAGCGCGCGGCACGAAGTATGTAGAGTGAGACGCGTCGAGGAATGCACTTACTTCCTCAACGATTATTGTATGAAACTCGCGCTAAACTATGTGTCGCTACACATCCGCTTTATAGTGTTTTAAGATCGTTCATTACTTCGAGGCCCACTGAGTTTCTCGCCGGATCTTCTCAGTGGGTCGCGTTTCCGATCCGGTGGTAGATTCTGCGAAGCACTGCTCTTGCTAGGGTCAGTGTTAGCAACTCTCCGGTTGAGCCCCGCGAGCTCACCTACAAACGTTAGGGTGAAGCTGAAATAGCCTCTCAAGGCTATCAGCATAGTAAAAAAAAAAGATAGAAAAATATACTTCAGTTATGTTAAATCGCTAATCTTATCAAAAACAAATAAGTACGCTCGTCTTTCACCACAAATTCAATTTCAATCCAGCATTATGGCAGTCACATGGTAACAACCAGTGCTGATTTTCATCCAGTAACGAAGAACGCGAAACTTTTTAGATACTAATTAAAAGGAATAAAATACAATATTTTACTGATTAAAATATACCACTACTACATGTTTTAATTAAATTGTAATTTATCTTTCAGGAAGCAACATGCGAGCCACCTGTGGATTCAGCTTCGTTACCATTGGAGCACCGCGCGGGTGGAGGCTACGGTCCGCCCTTGGCTCCAGCACATGCCGACGATCCTTGGCCATTAGCGACACCTGACAGCCCAAAGATCAAACATTTACAAGTCCAGTGTGAAAAAACTCATATGAGAGTTAATATTGAATTCGATCGACCCTTCTACGGCATGATCTTCTCAAAAGGCTTTTACAGCGATCCTCATTGTATGCACCTTAAGCCGGGGACGGGACATCTTAGTGCGACTTTTGAAATCTTCCTAAATAGTTGTGGTATGTCTAGCTCGGCAAACCATAACGTAGCAAGTTATGGAAGTCCCACTCCAAGCGGTTCTTATGTTGAAAATACAATTATTGTACAATACGATCCATATGTTCAAGAAGTATGGGATCAAGCCAGAAAATTAAGATGCACATGGTACGATTTCTATGAAAAAGCAGTTACTTTCAGACCTTTCCAAGTCGATATGTTACATGCTGTGACCGCGAACTTCCTTGGCGACAACCTGCAATGCTGGATGCAAATACAAGTCGGTAAAGGGCCGTGGGCGTCAGAAGTTTCAGGAATAGTCAAAATAGGACAAACGATGACCATGGTACTCGCTATTAAAGACGACGAAAATAAATTCGACATGTTAGTACGAAATTGTGTAGCTCATGACGGTAAACGGGCGCCCATACAGCTAGTCGACCAGTATGGATGCGTTGTTAGACCGAAAATTATGAGCAAATTCCAGAAGATAAAGAATTTCGGACCCTCAGCATCTGTGGTCTCGTTTGCATATTTCCAAGCATTCAAATTCCCTGATTCGATGAACGTACATTTTCAATGTGTAATTCAAGTCTGTAGATACAACTGTCCCGAGCCCAAATGCGGTCTTGGCGCTGATTACGGAGTACCTTTGTTAGCTGGTAATACACTCGGAGGTGGAGACTATGGCCTTTCTAATTCACCACATGCTGAGTATGCACCACCACCACCCGGACCGCATAGCGAATACGGGGTACCGCCGGCGTATCCCGATCCCAGACACCCTGCAGACGCTATAGGATCGTTCTCAGAAAAACGCGATGACGCTGTTCCACCACCACAAGCACAGGTTTCATCGACTCCAAACGCTCCTAGTCCTTCTTCACCGGCGCCGTCGCGAGATGAAGATGATGTTAATCTACCTCCACCACCACCTCCAGGCCGACGCGGAGTTTATAACACCGTCAAGAGGAAAGACGAAGCTCACGGCAATCTAGCCACTCTGGGAGGTCGACCACGTTCCGTGGAAGACTTACCCGAGAGCTTAGCCGGGATCCGACGCCGGCGAGAAACATCGACCCCAACTCGTATTTACAAACGAGATACTCAGGAGATGACTGACGTGAACACGAGTCGCACTATTCAAGTCGTAGCACCGGGTGACGTTAATTTCGCATTGAACAACGCCGCGGCCAACGAAACTGTCGTTATTCAATCGCCCGCAACCGATCCGGAGACGATTTGCATGTCAGTACCGTCATTTATTGCGGGCCTGGTGATGTTATTATTGGTGCTTGTTGTCGCATCTCTCGTCGCTGCTTTTCTGTTCGTGAGAGTGCGAGCGCTCGATAGGAAAGGCGCTCACGGAGCTACCGCCTATTACGAAACGGATTACGTTAAGCACACAAACTAGTGGAGGAACTCGGTACGGAAGTGTGACGCGTGGACATTTTATAAATATTTCTTGGATCCAAAGAGCGTGCGTTCTTCGGCCCCGGTCGGATGGCTTGGCGGCTGCGCTATCACGGTCGCGATCGAAGTCCGGTGCAGTGCAGATGACGTGTGACTTATTTATTTAGTAACGTAGTGAGCGTGATGTATAGTATGTTCGATGTTTTTTTGTAAATTATTTTATCAGCGTGAGAAACCCTCTTTATCCTTCAAATAGTCTCAACTTATGTCGGTTGTAATTTTGTAAAGAGTCGTAAGTAAGAAAGTAGGAGTGTTACGTATATAGCAATTAAAGTGTCGTGTGAAGAGTAACTTGTTTTATTTTTTAATCTGCTTTCTTTTCTATCAAGATGCAATTAATGCTAAAACTAACAGACATTTTTATTCCAATATTTATTAGATAAAATATTCTACAACTTAANAATAGTCTCAACTTATGTCGGTTGTAATTTTGTAAAGAGTCGTAAGTAAGAAAGTAGGAGTGTTACGTATATAGCAATTAAAGTGTCGTGTGAAGAGTAACTTGTTTTATTTTTTAATCTGCTTTCTTTTCTATCAAGATGCAATTAATGCTAAAACTAACAGACATTTTTATTCCAATATTTATTAGATAAAATATTCTACAACTTAATAGAAAATAATGCAAATAAAAACACCGCGTTTGTTTAAAACCAAAGTTTCATCTCCAAGGTTGTTTTCTGGTACTGTGGGGCTCGCGCACGCCATCAGCATTATGTATGTTGCGGGCCAAACTTAGTATCGAAGGATATTCATCTCTATGTGGACTCAAGTAGAGTAATTTTAGTTTTTTGTCATGACTTTCAACTATTTTATCTATTAGATCCTGCGAAGAAATGTTACAATTAAATTCTAAGCTTTTCTGGTAAGTACGATAGGTATATCATATTTTATCTTCTTGGCCTTTTTTTGGATTTACGTTTCTACTCTAAAATGAGCAGTAGCACATGACGTCGAAGCCACAATTATATTGTAAGACAGCTGTCCTGCTGTGACTCCTTCGCGGCAGAAATAGGTAGGTCAGCGTTATCTACCAGTTCTGTCTCACAATACACCCCAATACCAGTAATTACACAACTATAGCAGTGATTAATCACCACAAGATAGTTGACTTATGTCCCCTGACTTCAGTCTTTTTGTCATTTTTCGTTTTAACTATGTTATGCATCTATACTTTAAAGTTAGAAAAGAAATCTGCATAATATTGACTTTATTGCCTTCGAAAGTAAACAATCTTATTCTTAAGTTGATTTAAGGTAACTTAATAGTTTGTGTATGAAATATATTAAGGACATATTTATTCGTAGTAAGAATTTTATATCTTTCGCTTAAGCTGGAGTAATGTGCGCTAATAAGAACAACCGTCTCAAATAAATCGGCAGCAACTGCCGGTGAGTATTTAAAAACACATTCAGAACTTTCATCAAGGATATCGCTTCCGAAGCCGTATAAAGAAATACCATAATTGAACAGTCATGAAAAACTATTTAAAGAGAAATAGCAAATGCGCCTTGGCATCTTGATGCATATTTCTTCTACCCGCAATTTAAAACAAGGTTCCCACATCACATGCGACCTTTGACCCCACATATAAAATTATTTTTTAAATGATGCATGCACTGCAAAGATTTTTTTTTTATTGCTTAGGTGGCTGGACGAGCTTACAGCCCACCTGGTGTTAAGCAGTTACTGGAGCCCATAGACATCTACGACGTAAATGCGCCACCCACCTTGAGATATAAGTTCTAAGTTCTCAAGTATAGTTACAACGACTAGCCCACCCTTAAAACCGAAACGCATTACTGCTTCACGGCAGAAATAGGCAGGGTGGCGGTATCTACCCGCACGGACTCACTAGAGGTCCTACCACCAGTAAAAAATAATTATTATTGTGATAATAATAATTGTGCTTCATTCAATCATCAGTGTGAAAAAGTCTGTCTTAATTTTCAGAAATGGTTCCCTGGTAACCTGTCATCAATTCTTACGTCTGGAAATAGTTTAATAGGTATCTGTGTCCTGTTGTTGGCCTCTTGAAGATTTGGAGATTGCAGTTTTTTCATGGTTATAGGAGAGCGAATAATGACAGGCTCCGTTTGCGTTGATTTGTCTTTCTTTTGCGCCCTTTGAGCCTTTTTTTCGTGATACACCTGTAATTGATTATACTTATATATGATAGGGACCAACAAGTTTTTGGCATTTCTACAACGGGTGCAAATACAAAACGCGGCCGCAAGGTGACTGCAACAGAATAGATTTATCAAAAACTTTTATTGAAGAGTCGGCAAAGATGTTAGTTTTAATAACCATATTTTCCTTTTCAATGTTTCTCTTACGTGCCTGCCCTACCTAAGCTGTCATGTATGACAGCTGTCATGTATGACATGTATGAACTTTGTAAAGTTAAGTTAACGTTTGGCAGCGTCTGATTGTTGATGTCTATGAGTCTTCAATGGTCAGCCAGCCGAAGCCAGGTCGAAGCCTGACTCACATGCGACTGCCTGATGACAAATGGTTAGCATCAAACAATGTGGGATAATAAATTTTAGTCATTCAACGCTTCCACGACCTGAAGTGACAAGCCCGGTGTACTCATACCGAGCGAGAGGACTGTGCCAGTATTCAAATCCAGTAAACAGATACCAATGTTTATCAAGAAATCGTAATTATCTACGTGTTCACGAATTATTTACACAATGAACGAATACTAATTTGTGATAAAAATGAAATCTACAAAAAAATTATTTAGTTGTTGTATTAAGAACTTTGCGGGTAGTTACTTCATTAATCTTCTTCTTCTCTACAGCGAAGCATTCATGCAGTGTATATAGTTTGATCGATGAAACGATCGTTATACAATACAATCGAGACTTCGGCCTCATGTTCCAAAGCTGGAGACAGCATACACGTTATGAACTATCAAGGCTTCAGTAACTATTTAACACAAGGTGGGCCATGAACTCGTTTGTCCATCAGTCCAATAAAAGAAATTAAAAAAAAACGAATAATCAGTGAAATGGAAAAGAGCAGAGCGAAGACGAATAATGGCAACGACGATCTTAATTTCGTCTACCACGAAGATAAATAGTGCTGTTCATTACTGAAGATTACATAATCGCTATCGAAAACTCAAAATTTTGCTTTGTATTTGCAGTTTTAAAATCAATCAAAACAATTGAAGGGCGCCAATAACAGTCACGTGTGTCGTCTATGGATTCACGCATAAACCTACTACTCGTAATAACCTTGTCCAATAATCATTTTATGCTATTCAAATGGACTTTATTTTTCATTTATGTTCATTATGTTATGTTTTCATTATTTACTATCTAAATTATTAGAGGCTTTGGAAACCGTTCCTATCTATCATGTAAATTGTTTGTAGCATACAAATTTATATACGGTATTGTATTTCAAAGCCTACTTGATTCCGTTGTCGTGGTTTTTTCGGCGAAGCTGTGCGAATCCTTCGGTCGTCGTGACGAGGAGAGGCAGCGGGAGATAAATTGCTATATGTGTGACACAGGCGAGGCACCCTCCAGTCGTACTTTGATTTCGATGAAATATGTGTTTTTTGCGATTCTCCTTTACATTTACGATGTCTCTGAATAAAAATAAAGATTTCTTTATATCCAAAAACAGTTATTAAAGTTAAAAATATTGTGTACATTTTGCTATAGGATATAGTTAGATCAGTTGTTACAAGAAATATAAATTATCATTATTCAACTGATTTCACTGTAAGTTTTAAAATAAACCTTCATTTCAATAATGCTAAATCCAATATTAAAAAGACATAGGTCAAAATAATTTCTCTATATTTCCTTTCAATCGTCATAACTAAGGCGCTGTTTGAGACCCAGAAGAAATCGGTACGTTGTATGATGAAATACGATGTATATACCCTGCATTTTGCCGTGTTATTGATTAGGTTTTATAAGAATACTTAGCCGTATTCGCCCGCTTCGCTGCGCATTTAAAATTAACATTATTATGTAATGTCATTATTATTAGGAAGTCCAACACTCATATAAATATTAGCCTGTCCATTAAGTACCTACATGTATTTTCTATATGGATACCAAGTTTCAAGTCAATCGGATGCATGGTTCAGTGTGCTTAGTACGAGTTTTTTAACGTTCTCGATAGCGTCAAAGTTAGCTCATATTTGTATGGAATGGGATCGTTTGCGTACGTTTGACGCTAGGGGCGCTGTTCCAACTGCATACAAATTTGGCTTAACTTTTACGCTATCGAGAACGTTAAGAAACTTGCACTAAGCACACAGTACTTATAACGGAACATCCGTTAAATCCACTGTAGATTTATATATTAGTATAGATTCAACGTCAATACCGGCGTTGTCAGCTGTAGGGACGGCAGCATCTGTGGCGGAGGTACTGGCTGAGCTGATGGCGTTGACAGCCTGCGACACCGCGCTTTCGATACTGTTGGCTGCCTCGAACAGCAAGCGGCACAATTCACATTGCGCCGCCGATGACGCTGTATTCAACACATATTCCCTTAGCAGCCTTTCTATACCTTCAAAACTAGCAATTTTGTCATATTTGTCTCTCGACATTAGCCCCTGTTTCTATTGGCAAACATTAGAAACATATGTATTTTTTACATCATTAAAATGTTGGACAATATAAGAGTTACCTTAAAATTGTGTGATTAGAAAATGAGCAATTCGGAAATCAGATGCGTGAGCTAGGGGGTGGGACTCGTACATCTGATGCAGCACCTGGATCGACATGTGAGCAGTCAGTCAAGTGAGCCGCCAGACCATCGTGGTCTCCGCTTTCCGGTGGCGCGCCATGGAAGTGAACCTTGATATTATTTCGGATCAAATGAGGTTTTATATCTTCGAACCAAACGTCACATAGCTAAAATAATAAGACGAAACTATAAATGATCACAAATTCAAAAATAACTTTCTGCTTAGTGTTAAAAATTATGAATTATTTACGCCAACTAAAGCACTCTCCAAATCGTTTCGAACGTTTTTGGGAATTTTATTCTTGCTCCTGCTCCTTTTATCATGGTGTTTAAAATTATCATCGTAAGTTTCTTTCCGTCTGAGGTCGCATGCGACTGCATCCCCTGATGCTTTAGCAGTGAAAGGCCTGTTTCGTCCACAATCACCATTTGCAACTGAAGGAACTTTACGAACTCTAAATTGAGACATAGCTTGAAACAAAAATGTTCAAGTTCGAAATGTTTTTTCTTAAAAAAATAAATATACGCGTAAAAAATTAAATGTCAAAATCCAAGTCATAGTAAACACAAGAAAATATATTTTATCGCGTTATTGCTGTAGAGGTTGGTTGCACCAATGTCACTTTGCATCAATTTATTCGATTTCGTAAAATGAAACGTGAATTTTCTTTTACTACCCGCTATACAAGAAGCCATTAGAATATTTCACACCGCATCCATCATTAAAATTTCTTGTTTTCTTAAGTCATAACTTTAAATTTTAAGGTAATTTTAATTTACAATAGCTGAGACAATGATATGTCCAATAATACAAATAATATTAGCCACGACAAACTTACTTGTACGAAAGATCTCAACAATAATTTCCAACCCGCTTAAACATAAAAACAATAAGAATTATATAAAGAAAACCATGAACGAAGTTTTGTTTTATAGTGATGATGATCCCGATCATATGAGAATGATTGGACTGGGTAATATTTTCTGCATTTATTATGTGATTTTTAAATCAAAGCGAACCATTGATGTATGCGTCCCGAGACTGTCCAGTGATGCGTTAGCTAAGTGCCTTGTTAAAGTACAACAGCAAAATGGATCGAAAACAAGAATCATAATCCACAAGAGCAACGACCTACGAAATTTACAATTGTTTACTCTAAACAGAATAGAAGTGAAACTTATAAAATCAGAAGTTCGCCTGGAGCATGAGTTTATAGTAATCGATTCCTCAGAACCGAACGCCATGATTTTGCTGGGAAACGTTTGTTGTGGGGGATGCTGGGATAAAATGGAGTGTTTCAATAAAGCCCCCACAATATTGTCTTCGGAAAAATCTTTAGTAGGTGTTATGAAACAAGAATTTGACAGAATATGGAATTCAGAATTATACTAGTAATGACATTTTGCTAATTCTAAATATTGTTTAAGTTTATAATATGTAATATTATTTTTGTTTGTAGATTAATAATTTGGAAATAAAACACGTAAATTAACAAAACATAGTTTTATTTTGCTTTGATCACTCGAATAATGAGATTATCAATATTATACATTAATAGATATTGATTTCAATAACTAGGGTTATTTATAAAACGTTTGTACTCGAGTGCCTACTAGCTAGTGACTGGCGTTTCATTGTAACAAAAACATTGAAACTTCGGCTTTAAGCTTCCGAAATAGGGTGCACAATGACTTTGTACAATAGGAAATGATTTAAGTCATATCTGTGTGGACTTTTTATGAAAATTTACCTAGTGATCGAACTAGGTACTTAATTAAAAAATCAAAAGTTTCAACATTAATAAGGGATGTGTAATCACATTAATTTACAGAATCGATACGCACATAGATGAAATAAATTGGAGGCGAAGTGATTAAGTTCTATCACAAAAAGGCTTTGCGATCAATACAGTGATCCAGTTTAATATGCCCGAATTTGTATAATTGATATACATATATTTATATTACATATACTAGTTCCATTATCCAGATTCATCAACAGACCAACTTCACTGTACCATTTAATAGATAAGAATGACCATCAGAAATACAGATCATCGCCAAATATCATAATAAATTTTAAAAAAGAGCAAAGTATACTATAATTATCCATTACCTGGTAAGGTTCCTGAATGCTATAAGCGAATAATAAACTTTGACATGGTGGAACACAATTTGAGTTACGGAGTCTCGCCGTTAGTTTTAATAGTCAAATGTCGCAAAACCACAGTCTAAAGCAAAAGGCCGCATCAGCCGATTTCTTTTTTAAGTATTTTATGGACTGGTGATCGCATTCGCGTTAGGAATCACGAATCATCACATGCTCTCCGAAACAATTTCCTCAAATCCGGTGTTATATAAAAATATCATTCACATTATTGACAATATTCTTGATGTAAAAAATTTGGGATGTTTTAGGGTTGAACATTTTGACTAAATACTAAATATTTTTCATTTAATAATATTTAAATTTTCTTGGCATTCAGAAACCGAAACAATGGAAACATTCCTTACTTGTAATTACATATTTAACGGCACGCTGCGGTTTATATTTAAATACTAATAACTAGATACGTACAAAGGAAATTAATTTATCATTACTAACATGATTTTTATGAAGGTCGAATTTATCGGGTAATTGTATTGTATTTTCTTATGTATAAAACATCGGTAATAAAATAAATATATTAAATTTAAATGAACATGATCTTAAACTGAATTGAAGACTGGTAATCGCAAAAGTTGCACAATGTTATTTTCAGTTAACACAAAAACTGAAGTTCTGTAGCTGTGTATATGTTTCTTTCCCAAAAGCACAAATTGAATCCTTAAATAGTTACGACTGTGGGTGTGCTAGACAAAATTTTACTAAATTTGCTTAAAGTATAAAAATCGCAAACGACATCAGCTTGTAACTCTGATAAGATATTCAAACAATTATATGTATAAGCTTCTAGGGGTTTTCAGCTTTAGTTTAGTCTATAGTAAGGATAGCTTTATATAGAATATCAGCGACAAAGATAAGGTTTAGATTAGTTAACTATTATTACTATTAAAAAGAAAATCTGGTACGTGCCAATTACGAGAGCGCCTTTATGAGACGCCAGTGTTACAAGTAAATATAAAAAATACGTATTTCAGGAAATTATTTATATGTTTAATTTTTTCTTGAGGCTACGAAGCAAGTTCCTAATGGGAACTTTGATTCATTACTTGGTTTATAATGGGCCGCTTCAATTAAATCTCATTGGTCAAATCTTAGCGACCACATAGTTAAGTAAACAGGTTCATATTGATTGAATTTAAATACCTATAGGTACAATATATTATTATCAATCAAAACTATTCTCGGGATTTGAAATTTGAAATAAATTTACGAACTTCCAACACGGAGCATTACGTAGAAATTTATAGGCGATAAATACACTAATATTTCTTCGGTTTTTACGCATCTCAGAAATAATTAAAATCTTGTGTTTACTATCTCTAGTATTGAATATTCATAAAAAATTGGACTACCTGGCTATCCATACAAAAATGTCTCGCATATTATACAAAGGTGTCATTTTGACGACTTGAAATAAATGCGAAATGCGATTAGTCTATTGAGCTTAAGATAATTAACAATCGATACGCGATGAAACAATAAGTCGCCGTCAAAGTTTGCGGTGCCGTGATAGTCGTGGTCAAATATCTAGAATCTTGAACTACATCTTCCTTTAACTTCGACAAAATTACAAAGCTAGGAAACAATATCACAGAAAGGTCTTTAAATAATCGATGCAATATTGTTTTATTTTCTCAAAAATATGAATAGTTTTCAGTCACCATGGATATTAAGTAAAACTATTTTTACGGTCTGATTTAGCGTTTTTTTTATTGTCATTATATTATTTTCGACGTTTCAGATACAGTTTTCGTCACTTCGCTTAGGTACTTTTGTGAAACGTAACGGCCAGAAATAATGTTTGAAAAAAAATAGACGGTAGTTAGCATATTTAAATTTCACTGAATAACACCTTGGTGGTCAGTGACTACGAAAATATACAGTAAGTATTCGTAACGTCGGAAATAATCTAATGGCAAAAAAATTAAGCAAAATTAAACCGTTAAAGTAAGTAGCTTTAATTATCTCTAAAACTCGCGAAAACCTAAGAAAATACTAAATCATCATTCATCACAGATTCATAGCTCATTATTTTGTATAAATGAACTAGTTATAAACACGAATCATATTAGGAGAAATCATAATTAGAAGGTCTTATGTTTAGATTGATGTGATAAGAAAAAATTACTCTTATACGTATTGAAAATAAAATTGGTATTTATTTATGCTGATACGAACATGGACCTTTTATTGCTCTAATTCCACGTAAAATTTACGGCCAGCGAAAAGGCAAGAATATTAAAGCGTTTTCGTGAAGCTTTTTTTTTATGATGTAAACCTCCACCTCCTTTCTAATGTTATGGAATCAACAAAAAATTTTCTAATCCATACAAAACTATTGAAAATAGGTTTTAATATTTACAATGTAAAAACTACTAACAACATTTATGTTTACATGTAACAAAATCGAAACTATAGGTAGGCTTATTTATTATTCAATCAAAAATACATATTCAAACTTTTTTTTATCTATAAAAAATATACATACTTTGGATAAGTCTTTCTAAGTACAAATAATTACTATTTATAAAAATTTACACCATTTAAAATTAAGTATTTTATTTAAAAAAATATTATGAACTGATTAAGGTAAGTGATATATTATTCATTATTTTAATTCATCATTCAATGCAAACATACAACATAATAATAATAATAGAACAATTACATAATTGAACCAGCCTTCTCATACGAATACTATAATTATTTTATGGAATAGGAAAATTGATATGATCTTCACACAAATACGATCTAAAATAATTTAACACTTTGGAATCATTGACTCTGACATATACATCTATGATCTAACTCGATTCTGATCAACAAACACAAATTTTAATGATCTTACGATTATAATTCAACGCTTGAAAGGCAAACGTGACAATTACTGCTTTGTACATAAATGATAGGCAATAACCATATTCGATGCGCAAAAAAAAAATATATTTCTAGATCTATTAAAATCATTTCAATCCTGCAGCTAGATTCGTTAAAATAAATTTTTTTTCAGGTATTTCTCGGGTATATTTTAAATTAATTTCAACTTTAAATTAGTCTACTGTAAAGTTCACGCATTGTCGCTTAGTCACGTTTGCCTTTCAAGCGTCGAATTATAAACAGTTGGTGAATACTATTTCAAACATTCTATAAGTGACATCTGTGGTCGTGCACTGAACGTTCCTTTGGACGCGCGTCAACTTAGTGACGATGACGAGACCCTAGTCGCTCGCCAATGAAAGTGGATGTCATACATCCACTTCAATGTCACTGGTGACATCTTGAGTCTCTGCTGACTGCGGTGAGATGACGTCCACGTCGTAACCCTGAGGAGATGCCAGGGTGTAGTCATGTGGGGAGCTCATATCATCGTCCGGCGATTCAGCTAGGTCCTCGTCCATCATTATCGTAGCTGGCAACGACGGTGATACCTCTTGTAATTGACTTGTGTAAACTGTAATGAATGAAATTACTATTAAGGCTGGAGGTAAGGAAATTACAACCAAAATTGAAGACTTTAGAATTGTTAGGGTGTCTTGTGAGCTTGTAGGGATAGATAGCACCGTCCTGACTATTTTTGAGATAAGCAGTAATGCGTTTGGTTTGAAGGGTGGATCATATGTTGTACTATTAAATTGAGATTTGAAACTTATATTTCAATGTCGGTGACGGGATTTACTTCGGTAACCACTTAACACTAAGTCGGTCGTGAGCTCATCACCAATCTAAGCATTTAAAAAGAAAGACAATGTTTATGATCTTTGGTGTGACCATTTCATATAACATTATGACTGAAAGTATTAGTTTACTTAATGTTTAGCAGCACAAAGCCCACAAAACAATACACGGATGAGTTTGTTCATAAGACACAACCTAAATAACAAGTTGTTATGCACTGATTAATTATCAAATGATGATTTTTCTCCTTTATTTTAAAATATAGTTACATTAATACTTGTAATATTTGGAATGACATATCAGTGTTAAAATTATTTCTTCAAATCAAAAAGAAATCAGAATTACAAAACAGATATGGAAGAGGATGGTAGTGGCCGTGTCCATGTAGAAATCAAAGATTTAGTGTTAATGGTGCTCAAATGGTGCTCAATCTGCCCTTAAGATGATTCACATCCGGAGAGGGAAAACTTACCAGAGATCTAAAATAATTTACTGAAGCAGCCCTAGATTTGTGGGTCGAAATGGCACTCTGCAGATTTTCATAACTATATTACAATAACACCTGTTTCTACTTTAAATTACTTAGAACACAATATTTACCTTTAATGTTTGACGATTTAAGTTCTGCAGTGTAACTAAGCGATTCCTCCATAGCCTCCATGGTAAGGGTATCAGTATCCAAACTGTCCATTGAGCCTGAACATGATGGTGAGCTGTCAGGGTTGTTCAGAGTCAATTGCAGTGTGTCCACTAATTGTGGTATGTGAGGTCGGACCTGAAATAAAAAACCAAAACAAATTAAACCTACACTTTCATCATAACCAATCAATTAAAGACAACAGGATAGCGATAATATTTCCATGAAAATACTATTAGGGTGCCAAGATTATAATAATGGCATACAAAATTACAATTTTTTACTGGTACATATTACCAAAATACTTCACTTTGTAAGTAAGCAATAAAACTCATTATATTTAGTGACATATAATTTTAATTAATGTGATTTAAAGGCACTTTCAATGCTTTTTAAAATTATATGGAAACAGACTATACTATTTTCAAATCATAGCAAAATTTAAAACCACTTTTATTGTATTCTATTTTCATTTTTCTTAATATTTTTATTTTTCTAAATACATATTTTTCAAACTTCCATTATTAAGACTAGCTAAGATATCACATACCTTCATCCCGTCTGGCCTGTGAGGATTTCTGCATCCTTTACACTTACACTCGGTACAAGGTTTACTGTCAACGTAACAGGGGCATCTTTGGCCGCAACAAGTAAGTTTCCCCGGTGTTGCCGTTGCATTTCCACATCTGCAGCCTTTGCGCTTACCGCCCGTAGAATTACGGGATCTATTTGATGGTTTCTTGAAACCGAGTGACTAAAATTCATGAGTGATTCACTTTAAAAAGTTAATGAATGTTAATCTGTACAAATGCATGTTTCTTTACATGCCTTGTCATTGTTTTGTTTATTTTAAATTTCAATTATTCTTTTCCACTTCTATTTTAATCGTGTTATCAAAATGTTTATAAATTAGCAATAATTTCTCTCGGTTTCTTAATTAGCAAAATAGTTTCTTATAATATGGATTGTACATACTACCTTACTCTCCCTAGATGATGATTCACTTTGGGGTGAATCCAATTCATCCATTGCTTTTCTTTTGATTGTGATTTTATTCCCAGAGCCAGCATACATTACAGAATACATGGGAGATCCGTTTGCTGTTGATCTTGAATTNAATTAGCAAGAATTTCTCTCGGTTTCTTAATTAGCAAAATAGTTTCTTATAATATGGATTGTACATACTACCTTACTCTCCCTAGATGATGATTCACTTTGGGGTGAATCCAATTCATCCATTGCTTTTCTTTTGATTGTGATTTTATTCCCAGAGCCAGCATACATTACAGAATACATGGGAGATCCGTTTGCTGTTGATCTTGAATTGGGAGAATCTCTGGAACTTCTTGCTCCCGAGCTACTTGAACTAGATCCATGTTGGGTTTGTGTTGATGCTGAATTTGTGTATACACATGGTAATATGCTATATGCTGACTTCGAAAGGCCTCCTGTACTTTTATAGTCGTCTGAAAATCCCGCACCTTCCTGAATTAAATCTATTAAGCCTGAGCTGGCCACTGTACCCCCATTCACACTGGCAGCAACTTCATCTTCATCTAATAATGTTTTGTACACTTCTGTTCCCATGAAATATTCGCACAACTTTTTGTAACACTGAAGGAGTATACGTAACTGTAAGTTTTCAGTATAATTTTCATAATCTTTACACCAACTGCATGAAGGTTTTAATTTTTTTCGACCACCTTTACACTTTTTACATACGTGATGTTGGCACCCAGAACTTGTTGGCGTATATGGTTCTTTTAGTAAATTACCACAAACCGTACAGGATAAAGATTGTCTTAAATACGGTACCAAACGAAATAAATCAGTCCACGTAGATTTGTCAGCGGGATCAGCTAATATTATGAGTCGACACGTAGAAACGTAAAGGCTTGTTGCATTCATTTTGAAAATTTGCAATGAATTAAGTCATGTATGTTATCTTTGTTTATTTTAAAAGAAAATATACAAACGAAAGCCGCAAACATTTCCCATCGAATCGAAACGTCAACAATTCAACACTCAACTGACAGTAGGTATAGCTTTCAACTTCAATGTTAGTACTAGTTTTATTTTCCAACTGGAAAGGCAGAGGTGTCATACCATACCGCCTAAGCTTTTTTAAATATAAAATATATAGTTTACATGAAAAATAATAATATGAAATGAAATGAGATGAGATGAGATGATATGGGATGAAAAATAATCTCAGTAAAACGGTGGTCATTTACTGAGACTTTTTCAGTGGACTTTTTGGAGGATCCCGAGAAGTTACGTCCAGCGGCTTTGTTTTATTTTCCCGCATTTGTGCACTTTTACAAATACTAAACAGTTAATAAACAACCAGTATTATATATTGAAACCTGAAGAAACACCACTTTAACAAATTAAAATAATTCACACAACTTCGCTCCTCGTTTTCCCGCCAAAAAGTCTAACCTGAATATTACTAGTAGTTTCATTTACTGAGAGGAAAGGCGACAGAATCAATCATGCCTAATATTTTTATGTTGTGTTAAATACAAAATTAAACGAACCAAAAAATGTTGGATGAAACGAGGTGCCAGTGGTGGATTTACACTAGGGGCAGTCGGGGCAAGTGCCCAGGGCGGCAAATTTGTGAAATTAAAATTGTTTTTTTAGTCTTATCAAGATTTCTCAATAAAATAATTTTCTTCTTAATTGATAATTCAACAAATTCAATTCATCCATTATTTGTGAATTATAATTTTGGCAATTTTGTTAAAAATTAATAATCAAAATGATTTAGGTAATCAATTTATTACCTAAGACATTTAAAATAATAATCGAGTTTTCTATTTTCTGGAATTAAAGAAATTTAATTAGTTTTTTTTTATGATGTAATAATTATAATTATGAGTCTCCCTTAATACAAAATTTATAATTGTTAGAAAAAAAAACAAATATTTATTTATGTTTTTGGAATATATAACATATGATAGGTAACGTTTCTGCCACTAAGCAAGTAATCATTACGTTATAGTTTCTGCAATAAATAAGTTACTTTAATTTTGAAACATAAAATATATAAACTATAAGTTTATGTAAAATTCCAGTATTGGGGCGGATTTTTTTCCAATGCCCAGGAGCGGCATTAGGTTTAAGTCCGGCCCTGTGAGGTGCAGTTGATTAATTTGAGACTTTAATCAATTGAAAGGATATTAAATGAAACGAAATAAGATGTAATCTGGGAAAGTCTCAAAAAATGATGGTTATTATCGGAGAGCGCAGTGAACTTTTTGGAAAAAACTCAGAGGCCACGTTCAGCGATCTTATTTCATGTTCCCACATTTGTGTAAATAAGCATGGGTTTTTATTTATTATTGAAAGATTACTGGTGCCCCAGAGGCCTTTACAGTTTCACCAGGACAGGTGCGCGAGCAAAGGCTCAGCTAGGACAGGTGGGATTAGCTAACAGCTGCCCGAGTGTCGAAAGAGACCTAACAACTCAAGAGCAGCTGCTTCACGAATAAATCTATTACCAGATCGGAATCACGACCCGCTGAGAAGATCCGAAGATGAAAAACTAAACGGACTGATACATGGTTTGGTTGTCCGTCGACGTGTACGGTTGTCGGGGTTCCTATGCATGTTTCTAGCCTTAGAGCTGAAGGCGTCTAATGCAAGAGCTATGTATTGGATCCGAATGATCCGTAAGGACGTGTCAAGAGCGTAGACGGTGACTGGCTTCTGAGTAATCAGGATTCGGGGAGTAGTCAGCGGCGGCAACGATAAGACGATTATCATGACGCATAGCCTTATCGAAGTAGCGATCCGACGCTGACTTCATGTGTTTTCGGATTGATTCGAGGCCCAGGTCGTTGTGTAAGTCGATATTCCTCACAAACCACGCTGTATTGACGGCCAATCTGCAAAAACGGGATTGTAAGAATTAGAAGATGTCTGTCTGTGCGGACCGCGTAAACACCAACACGCGAACGCGAACATCACCCTCGAGTAAGTTATGACGGGCAGTATGCAAGTTTTGTAAAGTGTCACCTTGTTCCGATGGGACATTTTACTTCGCTTACAGATCATGGAGTAAAGTTGACCGAGATTAAATGCGGCAAGGTCGTGGACTGATTTTATATGTGGGAGGAATGCCATGGATGCATCCAGGTGTCACCCAGGTACTTAACTTTCCTGGCCCAGGATACGTGTTGGCCGAAAAGGGTAATTGGGGGTGATATATGCATAACAATTATAGCAATAAACATAACGTATGAAGCTAGGCATGTGTATTATTATCAAAGACTGTGTTTTTTAGACTACTTGGAATAGCATGATATGAAAATCACTGGAATTGACAATCCTTGCTATAAGCAGTGAGTTTCAGTTTAGCTACGTTATTCGGTGTGGTATAAGTAATTATTAAAAATGTATTAAATATGCATTTCATTAGAAAAAAAGGTTGCCATTCTGCGGGATTTCAAATCCAGTACAATCAAACCGGACGTCGTTGAATATCAGACTGTTACTTTTTTATATTACTTTTTTATTTTGTATTCAACACTACTTCATGATATTACTACAAACCAAACCTATAACAATAAGTACTAGCTTAAATAACCAGTGGACTGGTAATCCGTTGTTACGTAAAATCAAGAACCACAAAACACAGAGTCGCATCTATTTATTACACTAAATATATTCGATGTTGCTTGTTATCTTTTATTATTAGTATTGTATTCATCCAGGTTCTAAACTAACTATATTTATACCAAGTTCGGTGACAAAAACGTCAATTTTTTTACGAAGAAGTCGTTTTTGTGAAGAATGTCTTACTATACAATGAGACGTCGATGTAATTATATCGCAGTATACAGAGGCTTGGCTCTGCTCCTGGAGTCATTGAGGCCAACGAGTGACGGTGACCACTTACCATCAGGCGGGACCTACAATCGTCTGTCTAAAATGACAATAAAGAGACCTAAACAACTGTACACTTTTAAAATATTCATTTATTGATGAACATGCAATAGTGTTTGACTAAGGGCATACCGTCCCCTTCTGACTGAGCCATTAAGTTCAACCACTAGCTGTAGCCAAGCAGCAAGGTCACAGAGCCAGACACAAACGATCCGTTCCAAAAAAAAACGACTTTAACTTTTGTTCAGGCACTGATAGTATGTAAATAAAAGATCATAAGAAACGGACTATGGACAGGCACAATGCTTTTAGACATTATGGATGAACCTCTTCAGTAAGGGGATCATATCAAACTATTCTTAGAGAATCTACAGTACCTTTTTTTTTATTGTCCTTGTAGGCAGACGAGCATACGGCCCACCTGATGGTGAGTGATTACCGTCGCCCATGGACTTCAACAATGCCAGGGGCAGAGCCAAGCCGCTGCCTACCGCTTAATACTCTCCACAAGCCTCGTTTGAAGAAGGAAATGTCATAGCGCTCGGGAAACACCGTGGAGGGGAGCTCATTCCATAGCCGGATGATACGTGGCAAAAAAGACCTCTGGAAACGCACTGTGGATGACCGCAGTGGCTCCAGGTAAATCACTTCTGTTACTAAATACTACTGAGCGTTAGAATATATTATTCTCATTTAGAGTCAAGCTGGATCTTAAGTCGGTCAGTTATGTTAATAAAATCGCACACAATATTAAACGAGGTTCTCAGAACATACGCCTTATACCCAATTGAAACCACTTAAGAACAGTGTCTGACGATGTCCGTGCAGAATGTGCAGCTACGTTCTCCTATTGTTCGATTATTATTGTATCGTTATCATTTCTACATTAATAATTGTCTTCGGTAGTTATAACTGTGTACATTTCTTATCCGCCGAGTTCGTTTTCTTTACAATGACTGAGTAACTATTATCATTTCGATGGGTACTTGACGTTTACACAAAGACAGTCTTTAAACGACAAACACAGGAACTATTACTGAATAAACATAATCAAACGACCAATCGCAGCATTTAGATAATGCGAAGTATGTATTAGGTTCGTATCTGGTCTAAATGATTGACTGACGACGGTATTGTCTCAATGGTGCTACGGTGCGTTGATACGGGGTGCGCTAACGCAGGGCAGCCGCTGATAATAGATTAAAACGTCCAGTATCATTTGATCCTTTGTCGTAGGAGGATCTCTCGCGATAGTACGTTTTTAATTTAATCAACTCGCCGTCTTCCGCCGTTAATAACTTCAGCCAGTGTCTATATATCATACAATGAAAAACAAGATATTCAAAGATTTATTTGTGTATTATCAAGTGATGTAAAGATTCTAAAACGGATAATTTTGCAGTGATTAGAATGAGGATCATGTACAAGATGTACAGGTAATGACATTTTAAACTTTTACTATATGCCTACGCAGTAAGCTTAAATTAATTGTACTCTAGTTTTTTATCCTTAAAAATTCTAATTTATAGCTTTTATTGCAATCATTTGTAAACAAGTCTACCGCCTGACTATCGGAATTTACTTTTCGATTTGTATTTAATTACTAACACTTAAGACAATGAAATAATGGAAATCTTTATCAAGATAACATATCCACTCCACTTAAGGCCTGATAAAAATGTTCAAAAATTCAAAATTTAGCATAAGGTTGTAATTTAAAACTATCACACATACCTAATACGCTGATACGTAACACAGAAGAATCAATAATTTTAACATTTACAAAAATGCGACAACCGTTTGAATTGTACATACAGCAGTAATTACCAATTTGATATCATTAAACAGTCTCAGTCTATCTACAAAACCATTATCGTAATCATGTAGCCAGCGAAATGGGAAATAAACGATGATATATTATTAGTCAATTATCAAATTAACGTTAATGTAGTTAGTTAGCACGAAGAATTTCCTGACAATATTCGCCTGGAGCTTCATTCAATTTTCCTACGGAGGCGCGTGAATCATAGATATCGAGTTTTTTGAAATGTCTTTATCAGTTAAAACTGCGGAATTCATTAATTTTCGTAGAATCAACTAGTAACAGGATTGTTTTTTATCTAAATATAAATTGTGCATATCCATGAATACATTTGCAAAGACATTGAACTCAGATAACAAGAGAATTGTAGATGATTGTCGCAAATCGAACGTTACACTGTGATGTTGCAGTGAATCAATTCTTCTCTCGATTAACATTGACTGGGGCGTGGGCACTGGGCAGGCACATCATAAAGATCAATCAGACAATTGGGGTCGCCACGCACTATGCGCAGGAGTGTCCCTAGCCACTGTTCATACCTACTTACAAATACTAATAGTGGATGGATAGGATGTCGTGGAATCAATAATACAAAACGTGCATCCTAGAAATATTATTAGTATCAAATTTGATATGTAACAGATTTAAATAAAAATCGTGTTTCTTAAAAGTTATTTTTTGCCTTTGTAGGCAGACGAGCATACGGCCCACCTGATGGTGAATGATTACATTTGCCCATGGACGTCAGCAACGTCAGGGACAGAGCTAAGCCTCTGTAACACAACAAATTGTATTTGTTTCAGTTTTAGCGGGTCGTAGCTATAATTATTTACTTTTACGGTGTCATCCCGAGTTTATTATTTTCATTTAATAATTTCTGACATTACATACATATAGGTATTATAAAGTATTCGAAATAATTCTATCAGTTCAGCGTATTTTTAGTTTAGAATAAGGATTAGCTCTTAGTTTTTATTGTCTTGCCACCAAGCCTTATTCTCTGTCTTTGGTTCCCAGAAGCTCAAATTGAATCTTCAATTAGAAGTGATTAATTTGACCTTCGACCAATTGAAGTTGCAATTACTGAGAAGAAAAATAAGGCACTAATATTCGCATGTCTAAACCAATATGATTGAATTAAAAAGTTACTAACGTACCTACTAGGGAAAAGAAAACTAGCATCAAACACACGAAAACATTTAATAGACCATTCTTCACAATTCATGTAGAATACTCAAAGCGGTTGCGGTTATCAGTATTGTGAAAACATTAACTACTTATCAAGATTACACGTACATTGATGAAAGACCAAACAAATAGTATCTAGATTATCTAGGGCACGATTCATTTGACAAAAATAAGGTCAGGTTTGCATCGTTTACCTATCAGTTTTGTTATTGGTAATTAAAACAGGAATTAACAATACAACATTAGTGCGTCATCTAGAGTTGCTTCTCTTAAAATTTATCAGTAGTTTTCCTTCTTCGAATGAAAAGACTAGCTAATATACAAAATGATCTCCTAATTGAGGTCTGATTCATACCAACAGTTATATTTTCTATTAGTACCTATTAGGATTCATCTCATACAAAAGTTTCACGGGGCTCAAAATCAAAATTATATTGAGTTGTCTATACATAACGTACAAGTCTTTTATTTATTGTGAACATTATTATAATCGACAGAAAATATATCACATAATAATATGTTTTAATTATACGAGTATGTATATATAGTCATATAATGTTGTTTATCGAGATATGTTTTAGTATATATATTTTTCAGTAATAATAAACTAAGAAGAATTGAGTCCTTTAAAACTCAAACATATATATATATATGTTTTTTTTTGTATTTTAAGGCCTTCATACTGCCCAACATACGGTAGTAGTTTCACTTTCCGGACTCTAATTGTGAATGGTCCTGTCAGTGAAAATGATCTCGTGATTTTTTTTCCTACCTTTGCTTATAGCCTTGAGAGGCTATTTCAGCTTCACCCTATCATGTAGGTGAGCACACGGGGCTCAAACCCGAGGGCGTTGCTAACACGAACCCTAGCAGGAGCCAGGCTTCGCAGAATCTAACACCGGATCGGAAACGCGACCCACTGAGAAGATCCGGCGAGAAACTCAGTTGGCTTAAGAAGCGATGAAGAAGTAGAAGTACGATGTTTTAAGCGATTTTACTACTGTCTCACGATATTTGAAGCCACTAGAGCGAGGGCGGTTTGAATTAGTATATTATTTTCAAGTCAAGGTAATATATTATTTTCGACATCGAGAATGATTCCTTTGAAGACTTTATGATTTCTTTTACTTCATATACTGTGTCAATTTATGATTATGATTGTGAAAAGGTAAATATATTTTTACTGGTGGTAGGACCTCTTGTGAGTCCGCGCGGGTAGGTACTACCGCCCTGCCTATTTCTGCCGTGAAGCAGTAATGCGTTTCGGTTTGAAGGGTGGGGCAGCCGTTGTAACTATACTGAGATCTTAGAACTTATATCTCAAGGTGGGTGGCGCATTTACGTCGTAGATGTCCATGGGCTCCAGTAACCACTTAACATGAGGTGAGCTGTGAGCTCGTCCACTCATCTAAGCAATAAAAATAAAAACTGTTACACGAAGTGCAACAAAACGGAAACACAATTATTATGTTTTGCAGTGACATCGTGATAGCATGATTGCAATTTACGCCCAGTGTTACATTACACGTGATCTGGGTAGAACAGATTCGTTTGTTAGCCTATATCGCTTGTCATATCACGAGAACACCTATTATCTTGCGACACCATTATACCATTACTCCGTGCCCTCTAATTTGTTGTTATTCCGCATCTATTATTTTCATTATTTACGCTGACGTAACGTTAAGAATAACCAAGCTATTTTAGATTTTCACCGCGAGACCGGCGCAAAATTATAGGTTCTCCGTTCGGCTATACAATGCAAATAGTATTTTCAGAGAACTATTTCCGCAGAGCGTTTGTCATCCGCATACCGTCATCATTATCATACCGAGGATCCACTTTTATTTTCTGTAACTAAGCCAGTAAGCACTGTTGCATTCGTTTTGTTTAGTATATATCTATGATAAGCTTCACAAAGATTTGTAAGAACGTACTTTACGACAAGCCAATAATATTTTATTCTCATTATCCGTTTGTGGTTATTTAGTTGGTAAATAAGCACTAGCTACATTTAAAACTCTTTTATTAACTTGGTATGTTTGTGTGCAATGGAATCTTTGAACATCATTTTCCCCAACCTAAATACGTCCGATAAACATGAAAATTTGCACTCGCATCAAGGATTGACATCGATGATTTTATATCTTCACTCTAATACTGGAGGGACCAGTATCAACAAGATAAAAAAAAATTGTTGTTTTTTTTTATTTATTTATTTATTAGGCACACAATACCTACACATAATATGCTAAAAAGATACATAAAAAATAACAAGTAAAAATAGAAAAATCTGGCTTGCAACATAAGACATGTGCGCACGACTAATCAAAAAAAAAGTGCTGTTTGTACACAATGTTATAAATAATGCAATAAACAATAAACAATTACACTACTTAATCTACTATTAACATGGAGGATGCATACATACTTCAGTGGGAGGATGCCCTTAACATTTTTATAAAAGTCACTAAACTACAACTAAAAATATCCTATTCAGTTGACGACTTTTCCAATTCGTTTTACTCGTAGGTGCAAGATATTCGCGTAATTAATTGGATTAAGATTATTTTTTTATTACCTGATGGTGAGTGGTTACCGTCGCCAGGGGCAGAGCAAAGCCGCTGCCTACCGTTAAATATAATATATTGTTTTTGTAAATTAATAATGCAATTTTTTTATTATCTTATATTAATTTTATTTTAGTATTCAGGGTTTTTGAAGTTTTTAAGCTACATTGTAAAGTTTGTTATTGATACAGTAGAATTTTATGTTTAGACATGCACAAGTTATTAAGGTAGATAGATATAGGTAACATTATATGTTAATAGAAAGTCAACACCTCATCATTTCAAAACCATTATGCGGACACGAACCCGAGTAACTTATGTGCGATTGTAACAACAAAATGTACTTAATGCATTTTTTGCTTACGACAATGAAGAATTGTCAAAGCATCAATTAGAAAACTGTCTTCTATGAACATTTTCATGAGAGCACCGATAAAAAAATGCTGATAGACGCATTACATGTTACACGTAGTGAACATGAATGCCTACTACGTAGAAAACGTGTTCAATCTCGAATAAGCGAAATCGTATTTAAGAGGCCCACGTGATATTACCAAGATAGGTGTATACTTTAAATTATTTTAATGTTACGGTACTTATGAATCTTTTTTTTCCTTCCTATGCTGATAGCCATGAGAGGCTATTTCAGCTTCTCCTTGACGTGTAGGTGAGCTCACGGGGCTCAAACCGGAGTGTTGCTAACACTGGCCCTAGCAAAAGCAGTGCTTCGCAGAATCTACCACCGGATCGGAAATGCGACCCACTGAGAAGATCCGGCGAAAAACTCAGTGGGATGTGTCTATGGTTTAATTTACTCGTCGATCCCTTCATTGCAAGCGGCGGGTTCGGCGAGGACGGTGACTGGTGCTGGACCTAAAAGCACCGTTAATTGATCGGGAGGATCCCTAATGACGTGTTTAGGGCGACGTCGACTGTTTACCATTCGGTCCACAGGATCGCCTGTGACTTCGTACTCATATATCAACCTGCCGCTTTGATAATCAGTCCATAACCACCATCAGGTGGCCAGCGGGCTCTTAACATTGGCACCCTTAAAAATCCCTCGAAATTTTTTTGTCGCAATATACATGCAACGCATAAATTCAACATTAATCATCAAAAACATAACATACCTACCTAATCCTCATCACATCCGATATTTCTCTTTATTTTTTTAAAAAAGATTTTAGGATCTGGTAACTAAGCCATTTACGTCATGTCTTATTTTAATTTATATTCTCATTTTTATGAAAAATGATATGGAGTGAAATGAAATGAAATGAAGTTGATTAATTTGGGACATTAATTAATTGGAAAGAAATTAAATAAAATGAGATGAGACGATATGGGATGAAATATAAAACTTCGAGATAAATATAGACAAACTAAATATTCATTAATTTTGTTCGATATCAGCGTTTTCCGTCTACCTCCGTCGCGTCGGTACGTATCGTTTTCGTAACGTGAAAACTGTCATACACGACGGCTATGTACACACGACGCAATTTGTAAATTGATATCGAGCTCCAGATTTTATGTAGAATAGATAAATATTTGGAGACGTCGAATAATAGAGACTAGGACGTTGTATGAGTATAATTTTGTTGCATCATTGGTATGTTTTTATTGAATAGATAAATGGGTCGATGATCTCACGGCCCACCTTGTGTTTAGTTACCGGAGCATACAGAATACTACCTCCCATCTTGAGACTTTAGGTCAAAGTCTCAATGGTATTGATAATGGCTGCTCCAGTCTTCAAACAGGAACTCATAATTACTTCAAGGCAAGACGTAGGGAGGATCGTAGTACCTACGGACACCGCTTCCGGGTTTTTGGGTTGGATTCTGACAAATCTGTTTTTTTTTGACTAAACGATGTTCTAAAACTTTGATAGTAGTTTATGATCACGTATTTAGTAAGTATTTATTACAAATAATAGTACCTGCATGCGGGATTTGAACTTACGTATCACAGTTCATTTGGTTGCTCGGAGTTTTCCTACGAAATCGAATCAGGAATGAGGAGATTCGAAGAAGAACCAAGGTTACTGACGTAATCCGAATGATTGCAAGATTGAAGTGCCAGTGGACAGAACACATTGCTCGTAGAACAGATGGCCGCTGAGGCGGTAAAGTTCTTGAGTGGCAACCGCGCACCAGAAATCGCAGCGAGGATAATTAATACCGACACAGTAGTTATGGTCAGTACCAAGATTCTGCTTATTTCTGCCGGGATATGCGTTTCGGTTTAAAGGGCCGAGACAGCCATTACACCAGTCTCACGTTGTCACGACCAACAATGCCCAACGCAGAGTGCAAGATCACGCATTTTCGAAACATACAAATTTAATCTTCGGTAAAATTAAAATTCTGCGATTTATAATAATATTAAATTATAATTTTACAGTTTTGATTTTTATTACACAATGTTATTTCTTGACTGTGGAAATCAATCGCGAACATTTGTTAAGTACATATTTCATTATAAAAAATGGTACCGGCATACGAAATTCGAACACCGGTGCATCGCTAGATAAGAATGAACCGGGCTTCTTATCCTTTAGGCCGCGACGACTTCTTTTGCATCCACTATGTCATTTACCGATGTAAAAGGGAATCGAAAGGCTCATCGGTTTTCCAATTTTTTATAAGCCCAGGTTTTCTCAAAGTAATACTTCCGGCCCCAGGATAACCAGACCAGACATGAACGAAAAAAATATTTCGTAAGCTTTGTAAGTTTACGAAGAAGTTCTAGATGCATGTACAAAATATTTATACCAAAGGTTAGGATGCGATAACCTCGAATAAGGAGAAAATGTAAATGTTTGTATGACTAAGAATAACCTCTTGACCTGAAGGGAACAAACGCAATGACTATATTCTTTAAACTTGTACATACATTATCTACTTACAACAAACAATGAGTCAAAAAGAGAAATAAATAATAATTAGACACTTTCGAGAAATTAATTAGTAATGGTTGATGAATAAAAATCAAAAAATAATAATAATAAATAAATCGTGAAATGACTAAATTTCGTTGAAATTCAAAATTAAAGTTAGAACTAATGCAAGTTAGTGACTTAGCTTGCCTTATCAATGCCCAATTTATAAGCGACGAAAGACACTCTGCATTGAGCTTGGCCAGGAATCAGCAGTAAGCAGTGGCTGTCCCTGGATATGTAAAACCCCTGGCCATCGGTAGATTCTTCTTAGGACCGTCCCTTTTGGTTAGATAAAAAAACCATACACGATTTTTACTAATGACAGAACGAAAGTACAAAATACTAGCGGTAAATTATTTTCAGTCTGCTCTATTATACCGACATTCTGTCGAAACAATCGTACGATATAGTATTAAGGGATGGCAGGATATGATAGCTGAATAGCAGAATGAATTTACTGGTGGTAGGACCTCTTGTGAGTCCGTGGTGGTACCCCACCACCCTGCCTATTTCTGCCGTGAAGCAGTAATGCGTTTCGGTTTTAAGGGTGGAGCAGCCGTTGTAGCTATCCTGAGACCTTAGAACTTATATCTCAAAGTGGGTGGCGCATTTACGTTGTAGATGTCTATGGGCTCCAGTAACCACTCAACACCAGGTGGCTGTGAGCTCGTCCACCCATCTAAGCAATAAAAAAAAACTGAAATGTAATACAATGAAGTTTTTAAGTTGCTTAAGTTGCTGTAGATAGGCAGACACTCACGACCAGGAGGCGTCTACGGACTCCACATAGATGGGCGATGAGTTGGCTTGTCCAGCTTCGCAACAGCATTTAAGTGTTTTTGTTATTGTAATTGTTGTTGTTGTGTTGTTGTTATTGACTGAACCCCTAGCATTACTAAACCTTCATCGTCAGATGTGCCGTTACCTCATCTGGCTTTGAATGCAAAAAGTAAAACGATGTAAAAATATTAAAGTACAATTTGAATTCGTTAATCAGATAACGAACTACAATAGCTAAGCCCGTCTTTGGTGATTTATCGTTAGTTTATCATAAGCAGTTTGTTCTGTCAGTCTAATCTAAATGTGTTTACTTTTCATTTCAGAATAAACGAGATATTATTTATGTTGGCACTGTATTGTGCAACAACATGTAGCAAAGGAATGACTGAAATCGAAGCTCTGGGAGCAAAACCAAATCACTGCACCTATGAATATGCCTACGACATGTACGGAGCTCACTGCGCCGATCTCAGACTCTCAAAGATACCGAGCCTTAGAAGTGGCATTGAGGTGAACATTTTACTTTTATTGTTTAGGCCGTATCATAAAATTATGGCTAATGCATTTAAGCCAACTTATATGAAAAAGTTTGTGACTAATAAAGTAAATTTTCCATGCCCACAAATAAACATAATTAGGTAGTGCATTTATCTGCTTATTTTCTTCTGGTCGAAGTCGAATGGTCGAATGCGACGAAGGGTTCGACGTGCAACTTAGGCCATCTAGTATACAACCTACTGAATTTTTCCCCGAAAAATTTCAGTGCATCGCGATTCCAATCCGGTAGTAAATTCAGCAAAGTATTGCTATTGCTCGGAGTAGTGCTTTTTTTTGTTGCCCTTGTATGCAGACGAGCATACGGCCCACCTGATGGTGAGTGGTTACCGTCGCCCATGGACTTCAACAATGCCAGGGGCAGAGCCAAGCCGCTGCTTACCGAAAAGTTGTTACCGAAGTGCTGCGTACCGAAGTGTTGGCAAGTTCTCTCATTTTGAGTCCCATGAGCTCGCCTACCAAACCGATAAAGCTCTAATAGGAAGCCAGAGATAGCCCTTCGAGGCTAACAGCGGTTGGATAGGGAAAAAAATATTGGTCTCCATAACAAAACCAAAACCTAATCCTTAACTATTATAATTCCAGATCTTGGACTTCAGCGACAACAAGCTGCAAGAATTAACAGGAGATACGTTGTCAAGTTATACTAGTATAAAATTCTTGTATTTAGCAGATAATCAAATCTATCTCATAGAAGATGATGCGCTCAGTAGTCTAACCGACTTACAGACGTTGGATCTCTCAAATAACGTAATTTTGGAATTACCAAAAAAGATTTTTCAGTTGCCTTCTCTAAGAAAACTGTATCTAAGAGGAAATCCATTGATTCATATGGGTTTGAATGATCTGGTTTCATTCCAGCCGGTGAAAGCGCCTTTAGAATTGCTAGATCTGTCAAATTGTAGGATTAAAGTACTTCCGAAATGGGGAATTCTTTCTCAGCTAATATTTTACAACATTTCACACAATCCTTTGATTTCTATAGACCCGCATCACTTTTCTAGCATGTGTAATCTAGGAAAAGTCGATATAACAGATTCTATAGACAATATTAAAATTTGTGATCTTAAGCCCACGATAATGTGGTTTCAAAATAAATCTGTTTACTTTGAACTCGCAGATTATTCTAGGTTAAATTCTGGAGGTAAGATACATATTTCACGTATTTACATTGCTATTAATATCACTTATGAATGAAAAACATTATTTTATCCATATTAACGGTGTCTTTGGATTTGTTTCCATCGCGAAACAATTCTGAAGGGTTCGCTTTTATTCTAGTCCAATTTAATAAATTTGACTCATGTCTTTTTGATTAGCTTGAATTCCCAAGCAAGCCTCACTCAGAAGCAAAGGCTCACATAATTCTAAGCGGTTACCGAGACCCGTAAATGATATCGACTAAATGCCATCATTACGGACTGGAAGTCGCTACGACCTAGAGGTTAAGATGTTCAAATCCCGTAGAAAGGCTCAAATATTTCGAATGAAATACGTACTTAGCACATGTTCTGAGATAACTTCCGTGATGACGGATATCTTATGGTAAATTATATCGCGAAGTAGTCATGTTTTTCGGTTTGAAGAGTTGAGACAGCCATTACAGTATGTATATTAATAACCCTTTTGTCTCATGCCTCAAGCTGGGAGGTGGCATTCGTATTGTAATGAGTATACATTCCGGTAACCACTCGACACCCGACGAGCTTGTTTACGCAAACAGTCGAATGGGAAGTGGTGGGAACTTCAAAATGTCTCAATATGGCTAGCGCCATTGTAATTGGGGTTTCTATGGACTACGATAACAGCTTAAAGCCAACTGAGCAGATGAGCTGGTATACAAATGTATATTAATGAAAAAAATGGTTGTTCAAAAATTAATTTTATGATTTATCTAAAAATTATCTAAGTGTTGAAGAGCAGATAATAAATACCTAATTGTTTTTTCTTGTTTTTAGAATACGAATCGTGTCCTGTCTTAAATGGCACTCATATGAATATCAATAACGCAACATTCAATCTATGTAAAGCGGAACTACTACAGGTAATATTACTATAAATTGAAAATGAGAATACTTTGATTTGTTATGATATTTAAAAAAAATAAGATTTGTGTTCCAGGTACAAAACATTAAAGCGGCACGAAAAACATGGCTTACTATCAGTGGCAGTCTTTTCGGATTCCTCGTCGGCTTCATATTGTTACTCTACATAATGCATCGACACAATGTGGCGCAAACCAAGAAGCCGTCACCGGAAAAGCTTAAAGAGACAAAAAAACCCTCGGGCGATGCGGACAAACGTGCCACAGTTGTGCTGTTAGATAACATGTCATAGTGTCAAATAATACTTGATAAATACTGCTTTATGCAATTTTAAACTATCTCGATCCAATTTTTTTTAACATTTTATCATAAGGCTTACATTATTTGATACGGTTTCTAAAGTGAAAGCAGTGGAATAAAACAGCTTCAGCTTTGGAAAAATCACACAAGTTTGATGAAAAACGCGGTTTATTTAAACGGTTAACTGCCCTACAAATTGAAATAGGGTTGTCGTCATTATTGTGTTTTAATATAATTTATTTTTCTGTGAATTTAAAAAAATTAGTAAAGTAGTTAAGTAAATTAGTAATTAGTAAAGTATTTATGTCTAAAATCTTGCAATATAATTTAGGTTGCAGAGTAGAACTAACATAATATGATTTGAGTATCAAAATTGATATGCATATATTGTACTAGATTATTATTGTAATGTTTTTTTTTTTATATAAATAGATAGAGGCTGCTAAAGGCTGACTAAAATTTAACACATATTAATAAGTACTATATCCCTAACACATTGTGAGTCTTGTTAATCAACAAAAACTAATTGGGTAGATACATTTTATATATTACGATTTCTCCCAAAGGCTTTGCAAAAAAATTAATTTATTTTAATTGACATTAAGCATAGTACGTAACAAGGATCTATTAGTTAAGCTTTTAATTTGATATTAAAATAGTTGAAGTAGAAATTACCAAAGATATAGGGTATTGTATTTTTGCGCTAATTATTCGGTTTGTGATCTCCATATATTATCGCATTATCATAATCAGCATTTTATATCTTCCCAAACTTAAACTTCGAAATCAATAATAATAAATGTTGCGTTGTGCGTTTTTTAGAGAATTCGCATCTCTTAAGAAATAGAGAGAACAAAATATGTTTAATTGTATAAAAAAATGAGCCGGACACCATACTTACTGTTTACTACCAGTACACTTTTAATTTGGATGACTATTCTGTTTTGATTAGATTTTTCTTCGATGTTTTCCATTTCCGTTGTACCAGAATCCAACATGCTGTAGTACGATCGTTTTTGGGGAAATTTAATTTCTACCATTTGTTTTTTTTATTGCCACATTATAGGCAAACGATACCTATTCGTAAGTGATCACCGTCGCTGACAGTCGTGTCAATTGCGAAATTATCTAAAGTGACCCTGAGCAAAACACATTTCGAATTGCTACCTAGAATAAAACAGCCGAGCAGGGTAGCGCGGCTTAGGAAAGGTTTTCATGTTTAAGTTTCATTCCACCTTTTTCAGTCGTATTGGTGTATTGGGTTGATAACTACCCACATCTAGTAGATTTTACATCCTCTTATGTGGGTTTCCTGTTTTTAGGTCGGATTTATACGCGTATATATTATTTACCGCTGCATGCCTCTCATGTCGTGTAATCAGAGTAATTTACATTACTTTTTTATTTATTACGACAGCAAATTCGCAAAGCTACGACGGTGCTACAAAAAATTATATATTCATTTAACTTTGTAATTTTGTAACATACTACATTATTAACAGTTCTGTTATCTAGTTAAGTTTTTTTTATATGCACAACTGCTTTTGTAATGCAGAATTTTGTTTTACTGATGAAAAGTTATTTAGGAATTTTATAATATTTTCTTATGAAAATGAATCCTGTTTTTTTTAAGGTTGCCATGAAAGAGAGAGTATTAAAACTATTATAGTGATTATGTTTTTCTACCATGTAATAATATAAGTAAATTATTATATTTAAAAAAAAGCTATATTTAACTGTGATAGTTAATAAATTGGTTTTAAATTTCTATTACTTTTTTTATAGTGGAATAAGTTCCACAATGAAAACACAGTGCACTCCCAATTAAAATATTATATTTTATTGAAATAAACAAACTGAACTAAATCGGTCATAATCTATAAACAAGAGGGCAAAAACAAGGAATGGTATATTTCAATTTTTATGTTGAAGATTTCCGACTCATTTATAATGCATATAAACTAAACAAATCAATTAGGGCAGGCTTCAATGAACACGACAGCAGCTGTTCCTTCGTTTGGCATATTCATGTCCTCCCTTAGTGACTCCGCGTGGACATGCATCAAGTGCCAGTTTCAGGTCATATCCGTTTAAAGTCGTCCAATAACTGGGAAAAGTACCGTATCTTCAAGTGTCTTTCTTTTCACTGTCGCTCACTTTCGTCGGGATCGTTTCCTTTTCTTTCGCGAGACGCTGTTTACTAAACTTCCCCATGCCGGGCTGGTAAATCACGAGACTGGGCCGATCCTGTTTCAAAACGATATCAATGAAGTTATTATTGAAAACAAACCTGATACATACTTACCTTTACCGCTATAGTGACTAACCTTATTTCTTATTCTGCGTTCAGCGCGACGTTCGCCGTCACATTTTTCTTTCTCTTCCGATCCTTCACGTTCCGAAGATTTTGGTCTTTCTTCGAAGGTTGTTTTCTTTGAATCAGATTCATCATTGCTTGTGGCTTTATTTGAGTCAAGGCTATTTCTGCGTACATTACTCTTAGTCTCAACTTTGTCTGAATCTTTTGAGTTTCGTGTCGTTTCTTCTTTTGCTTCAAGCTTTGTTTTTTTATCCATTCCATCAATAATCTTGGATAAGTCATCAGTTTTCACTTGAGGCAGTTGAGTGAATGGTTTAATATCATTACTGAGTGCAGTACTTTTGGGACATAGAGATATAAGCTTCGAAAGAGCATATTCTTTCTCAGATTTTGTAATTAAAACATTTTGTTTGATTCTCTCTTTCCTAGTGTCGCTGTATTTTTTACTCTTTTGCTCACGTGGAGATTCTTGTATCTTATTTTTTTCGCGTTTATCCTTTTTCTGCCCGTCAAGATCATCTCCTACTTCGTCCTCTTTTTCAGTCCTATCGTTTTCAGATTTCTTCTTTTTATCAATTTTCAAATTAGGTTTACGTTCTTTGTATGATTTAGATTCGAATACCATCCCGTCGTCCAGTTTTGTTTGATCTTCTTTAGAATCTTTCTTCTCTTTCTCAGATTCTCTGGTTTTAATTTTTCTTACTTCTGTATCCTCATTATCTTCTTCCTAAAATGAAGTAATACCATAGATTACTTTATATTACAGAATTGAAGTGCTAGTTTTTAGTTTTTTATATATTCATATTTTATTTTAAATATATTCTACAAAACTCAACAAAATATCTCCTCATATAAATAATGTATAACTTGTCATTTAAGACTTAGTGACAAAGTCTCGATTTGAAAGATTATTGTTCTTCAGGTCTGCCTAACTCTGGCTAATCACTCATAAACACCTTAGCATTGTTCTATGTCAACACTAAGAAGTTCGCAGGACATAATTAAAAAATATATAAAATCTTTGTCAAAGCTGAGTGCCGAAATTACACTTCTTAGATGCACCCAGTTTTCAATATTTCTACAAAAACTATATATTCTTACACCATAAAGGTTTTTTTCACACAATAGTGATGGATGGGTAAGCACTGGTGGTAGGAACCGTTAAATACTGAGACTTTAGAACTCATATCTCAAGATAGCTGGCGACATTTAAGTTGTAGATGTCTATGGTCTCCAGTAACCATTTAGTGTCAGGTGAGCCGTGAGCTCGTTCACCCACTTAAGCAATAAAAAAAACACCTAAATAAACACTGTATACAGAAACAGTACCAGTCTACTTTACAGTTTGCTTAAATATTAACAAACACACTTCTGGACAATCTTTTATATTATTTTATTAATTATTATTTAATAATTTTAATTTAATAATAACGAATAACAATTTTACAACCACATTAATAATAAGATTTTTAATTTTTTTTTAATGTGTGAAGTTGAATTCCATATACTTTTACACTTATGACGGACTACTCAAGCTAAATAAATTATGCTTCAAAGACTACACACTTCTCTTACTTCACATGGAAATCAATAATCTACAACTATTTAAAAAAGATTCTATTTGAACCTTTAAAAACGGATCACCGCTACTTTTACATGCACCATCTTCTAAGTAATTCTCGTTTGAGGAATTGGACACTAAAGTGAACGTATTGTGAGTTTTAGAGCACAGTGCTGGGAAATGAACATCCCAATCTGAATTGATATTAATAAATTCGTCTGAGCTGTGGGAACTTTTTGATTCAACTTCAAATTCTGATTTAGTTTTGGGATAATTTTTGTGTTGTCCACACCACTGTATGTTTCTTTTTTTTTCAAAGTTATTGCAGTCACTTTTGTATGTCGCATCTTCTTCGCCATGTTTCTATATCAAACAGCACATTAATGATGAAATGTATTTACTGGAACTATTCATGAATTGAACTATTGATAATTTGCACAATAATGCAGGAATATGTTTAGAGTTATAACAGTAATATCACTTGAAGTTCCTAATTTGAGCACCTTCAAGAAAACATAAGTCCCAGTAGTTATTAAGATATACACTTCGCCTTCTATGATCACATCTCTATGGTCCATCCGCACAAACAGTGTTCTTACCTATTTCACTATCCAAGTTAAATAATGTTAATAAGTCATGCTATAAGAGACTGCTGTACCAAGACACTTGAGACACAAATGTTCATCATTCATGGACATTCAAGCAGACAAGCTTACAACTTATATTTTGAAACCTCATTCGAAGGAAATTTAATAGCATTACACACTTAATAGGGAACACTTAATTAGTTTTTTCCAAAGCTAGCTGGTACACAGGACTGGAATATACAGTGATTAAATCTGATTATTGTTTTTTTTTAATGTTATTACATTTCTTCAAATTCCTCTATATGTATGAAAAGTGTCCCACTAGTTTGACAGTTAATAGAATTCAGGCAATGTAGGGTTTACCTTGATAGGACCTTCCTTTGTTTTTCGTTCAATTCTCATTTTTCTCTTGTCATTATCGCGCCTACGACGTTCATCTCTACCTCTCTTGTCTAGTTTACGTGCGGCTAGATATTCCAGCAAAGGTGTTGATTGTGTTTTTTTTTCACTAACTAAAAAAGATCAAAGATTAAGTTTCTATTTGTGATAAAATAGATTTGCATATTTTTTTATTATGAGAAATAATTGATCAAATTACCATCATTTATTGGGTAAGAATATTCTAGTTTAGGTTGGCTCTCAACCTCAGGATCTTTGTTCAGACTCTCGATAAACTCTTGATAAATTGGGTCACTCTCAAGTGTTCCACATTTAGGATCTTTCTTCTTTTTTTTCTTTGAAATTCTTTGGAAGGGTGCATATTCAACTATGCCTACATATTCTCCACCTGTAATCAAAATTTTCTTTAATTCATTGAGAGGTAAATCAGTAATAAGCACTGTCAAATAAATATATATATTTCTTGCTGTGCTGTTTCCTATTTGGAGTAAAATCAGAAAAGATAAAGCTTTCATACAAAATTTAATAAAGATGGAGGATAACAAATATAACATTAAAATAAATTGCTATACAAATAGAGGTGGTATGATAATATTTTCATTAATTATATTTCTATACAAAAATTATTACATAATATTCATTATAATAAAGAAAATTTTGAGATAAATTGAGTACATCATTTTATTACATTTGGAATTACCCATTTTCTATATGCTCTTAATTTTTTTCTGTTATGCTTTTTTTACAATCAATTCCAACGCTTTGGTATGCTATAATTTTCAAACTTAGAACGCATTTTTTTGTATTTCCGTATAATAATATGTGACTTTTTCCATGAAAATAACTATTATGGTATATTTTTACATAATTAACTCAATACACACCTTTTTCATCTAAGAAAACATAACCGTCAAATTTATCTCGGAACAGAAAAATATCTTCCACGTTAACGAAATTGATATACGCTCTAGAAAATAGGTTATTGCCCAAAGTCGGGTCCGGTTTGGCAAAATAAAAATAGTCATGCTCTGGAATAGGCGATACTTGCTCCAAAAACGTTTCCTCAGTCATCGTGGGCGGTAAACGTCGAAGAATTATCTGAAAAAAGTACACAAACCGTTACGAAATGTTTCTATTACAAACACGGGCTACAAGTTACAGGGTAAATAATCACTTTTGTCAACGGACGATGTATCTTAGATTTCTTGTCCTTGCTCTTGTTGATGAATGTCTTGGAACCCGAATCTGACTGTGAGTCTTTACCATCTTGATCCTCAGTCATATTTCTTATGGAATTTTCGTTAGCTCAACAATATATTACTCAACATAATTTTATAATCATACGTCGTGTATAGCTTTTTTGACATTTTGGTCGAAGTCACAGGCTAGTAAAAGAAACAAACGGTTCGAAGACACAGACTAGTTAAAATTATACCTTTTCTATGGAATTATAAACTCAAGTAAAAATCTCAATACTTTCAAAAGGTTGCAGGGAATGGATACTCCTTAAAATTGCAAGACCATGACGTAAAGACTCTTCTCTGCAGAGAATGCACAAATCTGTATCTTCCACAGCCAAAATAAATTTAATTCACTTATCACCATGGTTTAAGAAGTACCACGCGATTTGAAAAAAAAAAATTGTGTTTTTTAAAAAACGTATTATATTACCCTAACTTAACCATCTCAGTTGCCATTGATGAAATGGCTTTGTGAATAAATACCTGCGTCAACTTTTGAAAATCTTTTGGCCTTAGACGATCACTAACAAAGAGCTATCAGGATCAGAAGGATCACAAAGCAGACACCAACGCAGAAGGAGATGCTTACGCGGGAGTGGTATTGGATTGGTCACACATTAAATTAAGAAAGCCCGATACCCACCTATCCAAGAGAGTACTGAACTGCNACTGAAGCATGTCCATATTGACATCATAGGCCCTCTTCCATCTTGTTCTGACTTCCAATACTGCCTGACTGCTGTGGATCGCTACACTCGATGGCCCGAAGTTTGGCCTATGCACGGAATAACAGCAGAAGAAGTGGCGAGCACCTTTGTAGCCGGTTGGATTGCTCGATTCGGAGTACCTGCTGTCATCACAACCGACCAGGGACGACAGTTCGAGTCGGACCTTTTCAGACGCCTTACTAATTTACGTGGTACTAAACGTATACGCACTACTAGTTACCACCCTTGTGCCAATGGGCTCGTGGAGCGCATGCATAGACAATTAAAGGCCTCTCTGATGTGTTATGATGATTCGTGGTTGAATGCATTACCTTTGGTCTTATTAGGAATGCGTTCTGCTTTTAAAGAAGATCTACAAGCAACAGTAGCGGAATTGCTTTACGGAGAAACATTAACGCTTCCAGGGGAACTGTTAGTACCACCTGGTCCTTCTGGCTTCGAGGACCCGACCGATTTTGTCGTAAAGTTAAGACAGCGTATGTCTAAATTGCGTCCCACTCCATGTTCCTCACACACTAAGCCATCACCTTTCATATTCAAAAATCTTTCCACCGCCAGCCATGTCATGCTCAGGGAGGATTCGGTTAGACGTTCAATGCAACCACCCTACTCTGGTCCTCATAGAGTTATATCTAGAGCCGAGGACGGAAAAACGTGGTCGATTGAAGTAAAAGGGAAACAGGTGACGGTCAGTGTCGACAGAATTAAGCCAGCCTTCGTCGAAAATTCTTTAGTAGATCTCGTTCCAGTACCAGCACCGCGGGTTTCTGTGCCTCAACCAGCGCAACCGGATGCTACTAATGTCCCTTTATGTCCACTCGTGCCTTCGGCACCTCTAACTGCTACTCCTACACATACACCTCAATATACCACCCGTTCAGGTCGCAGAGTCCACTTCTCCAAACCTTTCGACCTATGATAATTTTTCTCTTTTTCTGCGGATTCTCCTTCTCCGTAGGGGGGTGGTGTGGCGTTTTATTATGCGTAAGCCGGAACGCACGAGATGTGGGAAAAAGAATATAGTCTGTGACACAATACCTTTTTACCGCCAAATATTTAAAACATAAAAAATAATTTATAATGTGTTAAATAACTAATATACCTAATATAATTTAATGTAATTACTTTATGCCGCTACATCAATATAATTTATATTGTTTCAACTGTGGTGTTAATTACTTAAAACACGACTACGGCGAAATAAAGAAGGGACTCTATACGAACTCCCTCAAATTAATTTATATCTAGCAAACCATCACCTCATGCCTACATTGCGCATGCACCGGTTTTGTCAGCTGACAATGGCCATATTCATAGATTATACACTTGTGTGTCAGTCAGTCAGATTAAAATCAGTGTTGTCAGTAAAAAGAAAAATAATTACATGAAATTCATATATCAATCATTTTTTTAAATAACTAATAATTGATTTATTTCTTAATCTTTTTTTTACGAGTACACATTATTTTTTATTTTTTTGTTTTAGTTGTACATATTTAAATAACAACTAGTTAAGTTTTTTTTTATTCCTTAGATGGGTGGACGATCTCACAGCCACCCTGGTGTTAAGTGGTTACTGGAGCCCACAGACATCTACAACGTAAATGCGCCACCCACCTTGAGATATAAGTTCTAAGGTCTCAAGTATAGTAACAAGTTAAAGTCCAATGGGTATGTCTTTGATGTTATTTTATGTGCTTATAATCGATTAAAATCGATTGATTAATGATAATACTTAAAATGATTTATTTATATGTTTTATTTATATACTTAAAATGTTTACTTAATACGTAAAAGGTTTTGATGCTGGCAATATTTTTCCCGCAAAAATAAAAATCTTGTTTTTTTCAATAGAGTTACTATTTTTAAACTACTTATTGTAAACTGTAGTGGCGCTTATTTGGAAGAAAGTAAATGCCTATTTATTTATGACAAAATTAATGCACTAAGTGTTTTTTCTCTAATCTATTGTCCGCTTTGGGCCAGAAATGGGCATTCCCCTTTGTCTAGAGAAAAACAAAGAATTTTAGAAGTCCACCTACCAGTTAATCGACCTGAGTTTCTTAAGGAATACATAAAGAACAATACTAAATACCGTAAAATGGGGCGATTAGGGACAAATTCCAACTTTATGAGCAATTTTAAGGTAGTTGTTGATGTATATAATGCTATATCAGGATCAAAATGATTGAGTCTTGGGGGCATATTTGTTGTCCAATTTCAAACTATGCAACTAGCATTCCAGTTTAAGCAAAAAATGCAAAAATAGGTGTAATCCCTATTTACCCAGAAATTGCGGTTAATTGGGACGAAATGATAAATTTGCTAGGGTTGGCACTACTAGGTTTTAATTTATTTATTTATTTAGTTGCAACAACAAAGTGATCATCAATAAAAAAATTGAAAAACTGACAAAAGTACATGGCAGATGTCACCTCAATTATAGGTGCAACCGACAGTGCATTAACAACAATGGGCTTTCTTAGAAACGGTTTATATTTCTTCGTTCTTGGTAAGTACTTAGGGGCTGATATTTTTATCTGGGTTAAGGGATTAGGTGTGTCGGTTATTCCATGGATTAATCAGATGAATACCCCCACTCTGAACAAATATTAAATATTTTATTATGTATTACTTAGACATTTTTGTGAACCTTGAGATTTCATTGATCTTGTTACATGTCTGTGAAAAATCGACTTACTTATATTAAATTACTTATCTATTTCAACTAAAGACTTATTCCCAATTTCATAGGCTTCTATTGCTGTTTTTAATATTAAAGGATCATATCTCATAAAAGGCTTTGCACTCTTTGATACGTACACGCGAGGCATATCTAAAAATAGAAAACAATACGTAACTGATAATATAAATATTTACCAAACAATAAAATAACACATTGATAATTTTGAATAAAAGTTCTAGACAAAGACATCATGAATAAACCAGACTTTTACCAACAAATTTAAAAAATATTGCTATAACTACTTATACAACCCTACAAACCTGTACCTATTTATACTTAGGTCGTTTCCATTTCACGTATTCATATCTCAATTGACCCCTTTTTCGTTGTTATTTGTACCTAAGACGTCCCCAATATCCCCAAAAACAACAGATTTTTACATGTATTTTTATTTTATCAAATACATTAAAACCAATAACAACTGAGACTCACCTTTTATATATATTCTGGTTCAAACACTAAATAACGTTTATAAATCACAGTCGTCTTCTATTATTATCGAATAAATAAAAGAGAGCAAAGTTTCTAGCACTAAAATAATTACCACCACAGGGAGTTAATTTGAAACGCGATTTTTTATAAGTTAGCAGCTATTATCATGCATATTCAGAGTTATTTTGTGAACTTTCAACATTCTACTATTAAACTACAAAAAATGGAAGATTTTGCAACGAATATAAAACTTATATTGAGCGTCGAAAGATTTTCCCGGTTTTTTCCCGATTCGCCTCTCAATCCCTAATCGCCCCATTTTACCGGTACTTCATTTATTTCGAAGATGACCAACATAGGAGACAATTTACAGAAACAGTAATCTTTTTATTCAAAAAGGAAATGGTACAATTTTTCGAATGCACTAAAAGAGTAGTTTTTATTGAAAATGAATTAGAACAAAAGGAAATCGTTGAAAAATATCATACAGGTAAAACATGTCACCGAGGCATAAGAGAAACACTTACACACATTAAACGCACATACTTTTGGCATAAAATGGAACAAACCGTTTCAAGTGTCATAAACTCTTGCGAAGTATGTAAACGTATGAAATACGACAGGAAACCCCTCAGACCTACACTACAATTAACACAGACACAAACTAAGCCTTTAGAAGAACTTTTTATCGACTTATTTACTATCGAAGGACATTACTATCTTACTATTATTGACGCCTTCAGCAAACTGGGACAAGCACTAGAAATTACTAACCGATCTACTCCTGAAGTAGTACAAGCCCTAATAAAATACTTTTCATTTTATGGGATACCCCAAAAAATTTGCTCGGATCCTGGTACAGAATTTAATAATGCACTTTTAAAGGAAATCTTAGCATTTTACAAAATAGATTTACACATCAGTACACCTAACAACCCGAACTCCATGGGAATCATAGAAAGGTTCCATTCCACAATGCTAGAAATATATAGACTGGCTAAATACGAACAAAAATACACGGATGCAGCATATAATAGCTGATATAATAGCATAGGTCATTATGGAATGACCTATGCTATTATGGCCTATAATCAGTCTAATCAGTCTATTCAGTCCAGTACTGGCTACACCCCATTCGAGATATTCCTAGGTCACACAGACTCTAGAAATACTTTTGATGCCGACTTTAATAAGCAATATATACAACAATTAATAAAAGAACACGCAAAAAGAACTAATTTTTTATACA